ATATCGGTATCGGCCGATATATGTTCATTTTTAATGTTATCGTTATCGGCCTGGTAAGAAAATGTGGCCGATATATTAAAGCCGATAAATAATGTATTATTCCCTTCAGCTGAGACACTTGTTGAGCACTGTTTATGTTTTATGTCTTGAGATATGATTGAAATCTCTTCAAAAAAATGAAAATACGGTTCGGTACAACATCTGTCATATCGGCAATCCAACACTATAGTGAGAACATCATTATAATCGTGCGCTTGGGACATGGATTTAATCGTGAGACTTTTGTTTTTGTAACCAGGCTCTCAAAATTAGAAACAAATTTGGATTTAAGTTTATCGGCCGATATATCGGTTATCGGCTTTCAAATAAAAATAATTATCGGTTATCGTATCGGCCAAAATTTTCATATCGGTGCATCCCTAAGATTAAGCCATAAATATTAGTATTGTAATTTTACAGTTGTGAAATACAGTAATATTTATACTGTTTTTGTATACATAGCATATACACTTTATTTTTATATAATTGTAGTACACCCACTTAATTGGCTTTATGCACAGCTGCACTACTTCCTGAACTTAAGCCAGCTCCTTGTTTCCTGTCTGCCATTATTGGCCAAACTTGATTAATTCAGGTGTGTCTGATTATTGTTGCCATGACTACTGAGGTCAGACACACCTGAATTAATCAATTTGTCCAATAATGACAGACAGGAAACAAAGAGCTGGCTTAAGTTCAGGAAGAAGTGAAGCTGTGCATAAAGCCAATTAGCACCAATCAGCTACAGTGTGTTATATTTCACTGACTGTAGGTGGCGCTATGTTCTCACTGTCACACATGCTCACAACACAAGGCCCTGAGATAATCTGCCTGCTTGAGAAAGAGACTGGACAACTCAACACACCAGATTTATGAATATTTGTGAACATGCCCACACTTGCTCAGAGCTCAGGGAAATGCATCCACCATATATATATGCCGATACATCATATCGAGAGAGGTTTTATTTCACTGGGATATTGTGTCGCTTCGTTCTTGGAGTTTCCCGGGGCAAAGAGGAGGATGATTATGCCGAAATCCAGTCTTGCGCTCGGAGAAGGAGTTCCCAAGCCGTACAATTGGTAGGCAATAACCGTCAGGCAGCCAGTAATCAGCTAAGTACCATAATCCTCCTTGCAGGGTAAAGTCGTGCTTGACCTCCAGCTAAATACAGCCTGTGATAACAGCATTAAATGGTAACACTAAAGCCCAGAAGCCTTTGCTCCTCGTGTATTCGGCCTCTCGGCACCCGTCGGCACCTCTCGGCCCGCTTCGGCTTTCTAGAATTGCCTCTTCGCTCCGGTGCAGCCTGACCGTAACTCCTCCGTGTGTGAGGGCATGCTGGGAGGGGTGGATGATGATGTGCTAAGCTAGCAGCTGCAGTACTACGGGTGTAGTGCGTGTGTTTTCTGTAGTGGTGACCTGGTTTCCCCCCAGCTGGACCTCTTCAGCCCTTCAGCATAGCGGTGTAGTGCAGGGATTTGTGGTTGATGCAGCCATGCACTCAACACGCTTGCGCCCGCAGCCCAGATGTGCAGCTCTTGACTGACAGGTGCGTGCATGCGTGACGTGCTCGGCTGTGGGAGAATTATTATTTTTTGTCTGTGTGGCTCTCACCGAATGCTGCTTAGTCGACGGTTTTGTGACAGGCGTGCAGATGTTCACAGACGAGTAATTATAACGCCCGCACAGAAGCTGGCCGTACAGTTAGGAAAGCTTATCATGCTCAGGGTGAGGTTTGCATAGATATAGAATTTACACTTATTCAATTTGTCTTCCTCCTTTTGTCTCATTAAGATGCTGTGCATCCTCAGGTTGAGTTTTTTCTATGCATTATCAATGCCCTGAATGGGAACATAATATTTTACTATAATATACATATTTTTAAATATACATATAAGGATTGAGGTCAGTAAGATTAATAATAATAATAATAATAAAAAAAAAATGCATTTATTTGATCAAAAGTGCCAGTAAAACATTTATGTTTTAGAAGATTTCTATTTAAAAAAAACAAAAAACTTTATCAATTAAAGAATTCTGAAAAATAAAAAAATTATGACGTTTTTTCAACGTTGATAATAATAAATGTCGCTTGAGTAGCAAATCAGCATATTAGAACGATCTCTATTGTGGTTTAAAATACATTATTTGAAATATTTCACAATATTACAATTTTTACTGTATTTTTGATCAAATAAATTCAGAGACTTCTAATGTGTTGTATATGTTTTTATCTGACTACATTTCATCCTATTTTTGTAACCTTACTGAGTTAATAAATTGTGTTTAATTACAAAATCATCTGTAAATGTATTACATATATTTTAATGACCGCGTGATACTAAATGAACATAAAAATAGCTAAATTGGATTTTAAATAAATATGTAGGGAGTATTTCTATACACAAACAGTGCACTGCACACGTACTATACTATGCTGATAACGACGGAACTTGTGACCATACACTCTTAAAAGAAATGGTTCTTTTTAGAACCAGAAATGGTTCCATCCCCCGCTTCATATATGGAACTCCAAAATGGTTCTATATAGAACCATTTTTTTTTTGGTAAAAGGTTCTATTGGCCAAGTATTCAACCCCTATTCCTCTGGGTTCTATATAGAATATAGAACCCAGAGGAACCATTCTATATAGAACCCAGAGGAACCATTTTTTTCAAGAGTGTATAGAACCTTTTAGGGGTTCCAAATATGTAGCGCTGATAGAACCTTTTAAGGTTCTATATAGAACCTTTTCTTCTAAGAGTGTAGCACCCCTGATTGAGAAGCTCATTTCAGTCATGATGGCACAATGGTTGATGCCACATTTTAGTCATTTAGCAATCATTTAGTGCTGGAATATGGTACAGCTCAATATGGTACTGCTGCTGAGTGCTGACTCTGCACACTCACTTAATGATGTATCGCCCGTGTCAATAAAAGTAAAATGTTTGCTTATGCAAAAACTCCTTACTGTAATGGTAAGGTATTGTGGGTGGTTGCCAAAGTTTTCTCGGTGCTTTACTGATGCTCAGTGCATTTTCTCAACAAGTCACATGATATGAAGTATCATTCGTGCCTAAAACACTAACAATGAGAGATGAGGTACATAATCAAGTTTTTTTTAGGGTTTGCTCAAATCACTAACTGTAAGTATGAGCAATAGTAAAAGTAATGTTTACTTTTACAATCACACCCATCCCAGTGTCTCCTTTTTGAAACAGTGCTGGAGAGTAGTGGCATATGTTTTAAGTGACACTGGCTGACATACTGTAAGAGAGAGAGAGAAAGAGGTAAATAAACTCAGTGTGACATAGTTCCCCTCATGGTTGTGGCCAGAGCCGAACTCTCTGCTCTTAAAGGTTAACCACTATGAAAGCCATTGCTCAAAGGTCTGCAATGGCAGACGGTTCCCAGGCCACCGAACTCGATCCAACTGCCCACTCTCACAGTCCCTGTGGGCTCCTCACGATGAAAGAGCTCCAGGGCAGGAACAACAGTGATGCTTGTTGATGCCTGCTTAACAGAGAGTCCTGAAGCCAAATGGGTATAGACTCTTGGGCACTGAACTCGAGGTGACTGTTTGCGTCAAACAATTTAGTCTGAGGGTCTGGTAATTATGCATAGATCAGGATGGCTTACTAGTTCAGGGTTTTTTATGCCAAAAATATCTTTATGCTTAAAGGTTTATTTATACTGTGTGAGAAAAAAAGTGTGAATTTGTTTCCAAAATAAAATAATTGGCTCTATTGTAATTGTATTGAAGAAGAAAAAAAATCATTGAATAATATTTATTTTGTATTATTTCTATAATTACATACCCTCTAGAATTATGTGGTTTTCTGTCTATTAGAGTAATATTAGATGTTGCAACCAGAGAAACAGTTTCCAATGGAATGAGATTCCCTCCACAAAACTGTATGCAGATTTACTCTTTATTTTTTACTGTTAAACATTGAGGCATCTTAAGCATCCTGTACCATGAACATGCTGATACCTTGTTCCAGTCTTTAGTGTTACATCCAGCTGTTTTTGAACACAAGAATGCATCCAACGTGAAACACATCTTAAATGTGTTAGGTATTACCCTAAATCAGAGTAATAAACAGTGCTTCCTTAACCCTCTGGGGTCTAAGGTGTTTTTGGGGTCCTTGAGATGTTTTGATGACGCAGGTGAAATTGCACTGTATTTTGCACAAACAGGGCTACTATAATATGTGAGCAACATGTACATGTTTGTATTTTTGAGAGAATATTGTTTATGCTTGGTTATTGAAAAAACTAAATACATATAAACAAGCAAATATATATATATATAGAGAGAGAGATTTACAGTATATGTAATCAAAATATAAATGTAAGTCAAAAGCACATTTTTAGTCATACCTGGAAACAAATCCTGTTCAAATAGGTTATATAGGCGATTCGATAGAATTGGCTCAAAGTTAGAGTTGGAAACATCTCGAAAAGAAAACATGTATTTTCTTAGTTATATTTAAATTTTGGATGTGTTTCAGAATGAACTTCACTGACAAAGAGAAGGAAAAATTCGCATCATGTTTATTTTTCTTTATTTGACAAAAAGCAGAACACTTTGTTTTTATTGTGAGTATCCACAAAAAAATAGACACTTAACAGGATTTAATGATGTACTACACTTACATGTAAGATCAACATCAACAGAGTAATTTGAGTCTCTTTTGCACTGATATGGAAAAAAATGAGCTTGTTGTGCTGGCGCGATAGCCGACCCCAGAGGGTTAAGGCAGATTCGCTGTTCAGACAACTTACCCTCTAGTTAATTTTTTTTAAGTACTGTATGTAGCTTTAAACATCTCTTTTCTGAATTTCTTGAAGATTCAGACAAAGCTCATTTGTGATTGTCTACATTAGTTGCTTTAGCCTTGCCTCACTGTACTGACTAGTCACACTGACATTATTTTCTTTTTTCCGTTCTTAGAAACAGAAGCCCATCAGCATCCAGGGACCCAAACGCGGCATATAACCAAAGGGAGGGGGAAGGAGGATTGCAGTATGCCCCGGCTGAAGGTGGCATGCCTCGCTCTCCGTCCGACTACGGACGTGACCCTGGCCGTTCGCCAAGGAGTTCAAGAATGTACAACGAGGTGGGAGATTATCGAGACAGTCGAGGACGTTGGCACTCGCAAGGCCAGCGTTTGGACGGCCAGTTAGACGATTATGAACTCCAGAGGCGCCGTGAGGAGGAATACCAGGCCCGTTACCGCAGTGACCCCAACCTGGCGCGCTACCCGGTCAAACCCCAGCCCTACGAGGAGCAGATGCGCATCCATGCCCAGGTGTCACGGGCTCGGCATGAGCGGCGCCATAGCGACGTCTCGCTTGCGTATACAGAACTTGACGAGCCTCTGCATGGCCCCGGTGTGCGAAAGTCCCGCCTCCCTCTATTGGGAGGTCCATGTCAACTCTCATACTCTGAGGACCGGAGCTCACCGGGACATCGGATGTCGAATCATAGCCCACCAACACCACACCGCAGCCCTGTGCTGGGTGAAAGCCGGCGAGGACTGGCGGAGCCGACAAGGAAACCCATACCCCAACAGCACCACTTGGACCCTAGCTCAGCTATGCGCAGGAACAATCGGGACAAAATGGATAGCATGCTGCGAAATGACTCCCTAAGCTCAGACCAATCCGAATCGGTTCGGCCTCCTCCGCCTCGACCCAACCGAAGCAAACGCCTTGGCAAGCTCAGAACCATGGGCAGCTTCAGCAGCTCAGAGGAGGAGTTGGCCACCACGCCAGAGTACACCAGCTGTGAGGATGTGGAGCTGGAAAGTGAGTCCATCAGTGAAAAAGGTAAACGCTGCTGGTACATTTACAGTGTTTCAGTGAGAAAATCTCAGATGTGACTCCTGTTTTGTCAGTTGCTTAGAAAGAGCTGTACCGTCATGGTGCTCCAGAGCTGATGGTGGCAGCAGAGAGTTTAATGATGTTTTATAGATTGTTGAGGGAGACAAATAAAAGCCAGTGAAACAAAGGCTGCATCCGAAATCGCATACTTCCCTCTATATAGTAGGCGAAAAACAAAAGTTTGTGTGAATGTTCGAATTCACAGTACTCAGAAAGTACCAGGATTGCCTATTTCTTCAGGCGAGATTCTAAAGTGTGCATACGATGGTCACTTTACTTTCCCATGAAGCCATGGGAGAGTATTCATGAATGGTGGAGAAGCTGATGCTGGTAGTCACATAATAATGGCAACATGGTGAATGCAGTAGGCCTCTGCCCTGATTACATTCATACTACACACACTCATACTATATAGAACATGTTTTTTTAGAGGTTGACTTATTCAAAATACAAACCTATTCAAGAGATTATGCGATTTCGGATAGCCATAGGCTACATCCAAAAGCTGAAAAACGATGCCTTCCCAAGCATAGTAAGGAAACAAGGCAATCCTGAAACTGAATCCAATGATTCTGCCACATTCTGTCTGTTGCGATACCTTTATCCAATGGATTTTTGAAGGCAGCATAGATGTATTCTTTGTTGCCCATATAGACCATTTCACAAGATGTAAACAACACTGGTCCAGATGCACTTTCTGTTTCAGTTTGTAACGGTTTTCTTTATTTCACATGTAAAGAAAACATCTTAAAGATGTTTGTTTAACTTTTTGATTCAGTTTTAAATGTTCTGTTGGTTGTATTTTATCCCAGCTTTTATGTAGTGTTAAAAAACTGAAACAGGAAGTGTGGTTTACATCTTGTGAAATGGTCTATACCATCCTGTGCTGAAAGTTGTGGTTGGTGGTCAGTTTGTGTGTAAATGAATGTTTTTTAATGAGTTTTTCAACTTTTGATCTCCTTTTCTGGCTCGAAATTAGTATTATGTGAAGTCATCGCCTGATAGTAGAGGTAACAAGTCAGCTGCCTAAGCTTTTGCACGTACCATAAACATGCAATTACTTAGGGCATCTTAAAGGAATCAACAGTCAGATGAATTGTGTGGTTTGGCATCCTAGATCTTAAAATATTTTGGTTCTACTCGGTTCTCCTTCTGCAATGAAAGTTAGTTTTTCCTGATGAATTGGTTGATGATTGATGATTTTTCTTCTTTTTTTCAATTGTGCTTGATGCAATTATAGAATTTAATGCATAGTTGAGTTAGAAAATAAGAAGAAATTGGCAGCAGTTGAGAATAATGTTTTTCTTAAGAATGTTTTTGTCTCTGCGTTGTACTACATTGTGGAAAAATATGCAAAGATTTTACCTTTAGAGGTACAACAGCTTGAGATGCATTAGGAGCAGGGTTCATTTGAAATGAGAATACAGCAGATGTGTCTAAAACACAACTTCTCATTGATCATTACTCAAATCAGAGGGTTTCAGCAAATGTTAAAATTTTCTCTGGTTGCTTATTATCCATGGAGACCAGGAAGGGATATTGAATACTACTTTCTTGAGTCTTGACTATCCTATCCGTGAAATACTGTCCTTCGTCCTCCTACTTTTTCTTATGTCATGCAAGATATGCCCGGTTTTGCTGGCCCCTACCATAAAAGTTCAGATGTTGTCATGGTCACAATTAACTCAATTGGATAAGCCTCTTTGCACAGGAGCAGTCGAGAGAGACTTTCCTCCATCTGCAGAGGTAGGGAGAGGGATTCCCAGTAGCTCTGCGGTGAAGGACACTTGTAGAGGGTCACTTCCATGTCAAAGTCAGAAAGTGAAATCGCACCAGTGCATATGTAGTGGCCACATCCCCACCACAGTTACTTAATGTGGAGCACAATTGTAAAGAAGGTCAAAGACACACTTGTTTCTACCTTCAACAATACTCATTCTTTGTCTCTCTGTTTCAGTCTGCTATCTAATGGCTAGTTCACACCACCCCGACAAACACCAACAAACTCCAAATCCCAATGATTGTTTGGTTTGTTGGATTAGCTTGATAACCACGTTGGTGTTTCTTGAGGCCATGACTGTTTCCCAAAATTTTCAATCCAACAGCCAACTCTAAACTCTAGAGTTCCCACAAATCTACTGTAGGAGAAATCAAATCACTCCTTTTGACCTCATAAGCGTGGCACACTTCTTGACTGTAGACAGGAAGGAGCTTGATCTCTGACAAGCTTATCCTTCCATCGGGTGCCATTGGACATACGTCAATCAGTCAGTGATAACCTAACCTGATTGGTCCTAAGTATTCAATTCCCTCCCCATCTGCGAAAAGAGAAAAGGATTTGGTCAAAGTAGCAAACTAGTGGAGGCGCACACCGAGACGCTACGCTGTGTGAAGCCAGGGAAAATGGTGGTAAGTTGATATTTTCATGAATGGGGATAACTTTTGTGTGGAAAAATGAGTGGCGACTTATTTGTTCTCTCTGAACTGTCACTTTCATGTAAAACTCCCAAGTAGAAGGTTGGAAAATGTAAAGGAAAGGAATGGGACTATTGGTTCTGTAAGGCCAATGCTGTCAGCTAAGGAGTCAAGAGCGAGCTCTAGGGGTTCTCTGAGTCAGAGATCAGCCCGGCAAACTCAGGGAAAGAGTCTGTAGTGATGCGGGGACTATGTAGGGCAGGGTGTTTGAGCTGGCTTACAAGAATAACAGTAAGCTCATTATTCTAAGGCATGAACTCCATCCGAGTGCAAGGAGAGAGAGGGGGAAATAACTACACAGTTGAGAGGCAATAAAAAATGGCAAACGTTGGGGTGTGACATCTTGTGCCAGATCTTTGAGCACTGACCCAAGTGTGACTTCAAGAACTGCATTTGGTGGACACTGGTTGAGGAAATCAGCTTTGTGGAACTTTAACTTGCCAAAGTTTGGAAGAGGTGGTGTAGCAAAGACGGATTATCAACAATATATTGCGACTACAAAGAAGAGATTCGATGGGGATGGTCTACACGTGATGGCAAATGCTTCTGGTTTGTGAGGCATGGTGTATATTAAAGCAGAAGTAATGTCTACTGAAGTAAGCTTTTTGCAATGCTCATTCTTTTCATGGTAGAATACAAGAAATAGGGAGCAGGATGATGCAATGTTAGCAGTAGTAATCAGACTTCTGCAATATGAAGTCTCTATGCTGTATGGAAGTATACAGGTTGTTTTTTTTTCATTTATTATAGTGCTGTTGTAATATTGCACTGAATTTGGCTGTTAAAGTTATGGAGGCATAATGGCCATATTTTTCATCTTTAAACTACAGCTTGGTTTCTTCTGTACTGACAGTTATAGGGATGCACGATGATATCGGGACAACAGCAATATCGGCCGATAAAAGCTTAAAATGACCATCATCGGCAGTTCTTAAAGAGACAGTAATAATATGCTGCCGCTTGTCCTTAAAGAGATACTGCACTGCAAATTGAAATTCTGTCATTATTTATTCACTCTAATGTTGTTCCAAACCTGTATTCATTTCTTTCTTGTGCTTAAATATACTATGGAAGTCACTGAAGTACAGCAACTGTTTGGTTACACTGTAAAAAATAAACCGTAAATTTTACGGTAAAAAACCGGCAGCTGTGGTTGCCAGAACTTTACCGTTAAAAATACGGTAGGAACGTTAATGGTTTTACAGACTTAACTTAAAATTCACAGTAATAAACCGTAATTTATTTTCTGATAAAATGTGGATTTACCAACTTATTGATGTATTGATATCTGTTTTAGACCATTGTAATACAATGACAACCAACAATCATCACAGCAGTGATGAGTTACATGAGCAATCACAGCTCATCACAAGTGAATACTTATATAAAGCAATACTTAATTACAGAAGCTGCACAATGTCATTCACACAAACATTAAGCACCATCATGGTAACACACATGAAATTAAAAAAATGCAATAAACATTAATTTAACAACATTAAATGTAACATATAACCCTAATGACATAACTGATTAGAAAAAAAAACAATAAAACTATGAGGAACCATAGTTATTTCAACAAAAATACATAAAATGTGAAGTGTCACACAGGGAATTGTGGGAATGTCAATTTACGGTTTTTCACTGTAAATTATACAATGATTTGTTCTTTTTCACTTTCAAAAACTGTAAATTTAATGGTATTTCACTGTAAAATTATATCACAGTTATTTACCGTGTATAGTACGGAAACTTTCTGTTTACCAATTAACAGTTTTGCACTGTAGCATTTTTACCGTATTTTACCGTTTTTACAGTGTAGCCACATTCTTTCAAATAACTTTTATAATTTCAACAGAAGAAAGAAACTTGAGAGAGTAGTAAATGATGACAATTTAATTTTTTGGGAGAACTATCCCTTTAATATTAATAAAATGACAAAACACAGAGGAAATCACTCACTGCTCTTGACTGAGAACTTTAATAGAAGCTTTAATAAGCTTTTTTTTCACTTAACAAAAATACAAACACATCGGCATCGGGCAAAATTAGTTTTGAAAATATCGGCATATCGAATATCGGCCAAAATCCTATATCGTGCATCCCTACTGACAGTACAGTTAGATATTTTGCACATTTGAAGTGAATCCTATGATGATGGTTTGCATAAATGAATCCAGTCCAGTTTTGTTTTGTGTTGGTAAGAAGGTATCAGTACAATAATGCTTGAGATAATTCAGATATTTAGGCCTATTCTTCTTGGCATAATGACACGATTGAAATGTTACAGTTGGGAAACTTTACTTTGTTAAAACGTACCCAGTTACCTAACGTAACCTCGGTTCTCTCTAAGAGAAGGAACGAGGACTTCGTAAGTTTAGCTTACGCTATGGGTAAAGTCATCTTTTCTCGAGCCAAAAGCCAAACATTTTGAAGCCAAACATTATCCTTAATTTTGTATTCTTAGTCAACGCAGTGCAGCAGCGAACAGTTAATGTATTTATATTTACACAATCTATAATATGTTAAATATATCTGATAATCAAAATTTAACTTCACAACAAAACACCGTGCATTTCATGGTATAATGTAGTCTACGTTTTACAACAGTGAAGTGCAATATCAAACAGCAATAAACCAAATGTGTGTTTTAAATGTCATTCAAGCACTTGATTTTAATATCAGTGTGTAACTAACTAACCAGACATAGATTTCTTTACTAAAAACTGAAATGCTGCTGTCTAGATATGTGGGAGTCAGGTGATTTACTTCAGTGGAAAACTAACTGTCAGATAGAAGCTGTCTTTTTGCTTTTTTGTGTTTTGTAGTGTTTAGTGGTGGCTTTTATGTAACACTATATATACACCTTATATTTGTATTTTTTAAATGTGTGTAAGAAGAAAAGTAGTATTGGTTACCTATATGCTAATTTAAAGGGGTAATTAATCCAAAAATGAATATTCTGTCATCATTTAGCTAGTCACCCTCATGTTGTTCTAGTCCTGTATGACTATCTGGCTTGTGTAGAATGCAAAAACATACTTTTTTTAAAGATGAATTACAATGAATGGGGACAATAAACGTTCAATAAAAGTAGTCCTTATGACTTGTGCATCATATTCCAAGTCATACGATAGCTTTGTATAAGCAACAGGCCCAAGTTTTTATTCATAATCTGCAACCAACTTAGTTGTCTGTGAGTTTAACTCTCAAATGTATCATTTCAGTTCATTAATAAGTTAATTGTGATTTATTTTTGAACTACGGATGGGCACATCGCTACTGCAGTATCATTATATCAAGCTATTTATTTGGTATACAATCTGTATTAAAATTACATTAATGCAGAACATGTTTCTGCATCACTTTCAATTATTTTTTTTAAAGTTTGTGTTAAAACACCCCTGATATATTTAGCTGGCTTGTGTCACATGGCTGTAAGAAGCGTGCATATATCCACTCACACTCACTTCCCCATTAAACTGAAAGAGATAGAGAGAATGACAGAAAGGAAACCTAGCATGGTGTGTGGTGCTACTTTTTACCTCTAGAAAAAAATACATCAAGAGGCCATTTATATATATATATAGTAGGGATGCACCGATATGATCATTTTGGCCGATACCGATAACCGATAATTCTTTATATTTGAAAGCCGATAACCCATATATCAGCCAATAAATCTAAATCCAATTTTTATATCATTTTTGAAAGCCTGATTGCAAAAAACAGAAGTCTCACAATTAAAATCCGTCCCCTAACAAAATTGTAATGTTCTCGTTATAATTTCATGTAGCTGATATGACAGCACGTTTTGCACTTAACTATAATTTCCTTTTTGATTCCAATCATATTTCAAGCAATTAAGATCAATCACGTTGAACAGTGCGCATCTTAAGTGTCTCAGGTGTCAAGTGTTGAAGGAAATAATTCATTATTTATCAGCTTTAATATATCAGCCAAATTTTATTATTGGACCGATAACGATAACATAAAAATGAGCAAATATCGGCCGATACCGATATGGTGGCTGATATTTCGTGCACCCCTAATATATATATACATATTTTTTCTCTAATGGTATTTGGCACACACATTTTTGTGCCATGTAGATGATGTGATTTGCCTTTAAGCGTAATGATATATCATTAGATTGTGTGTATGGGTCTTTTATGCCAGAAATTATTACGATGAAAATTTCACGTTCCCTACCGTAAACATTTATTTTTCTGAATTAATGCAGCACAAACATAAATGGACACATTTAAAGGTGATTTTTTCTCAGTGTTTTGAATTTTTTTGCACCCTCAGTTTTTCAAATAGTTGTATCTCAGCCAAATATTGTCCATCAATCCAACACTTATGTAATCATCTCTCAGATGATGTATAAATCATTCCCCATTCATTGTAATTGCAAAAATGCCTTGTACATTCTTTAAAATATCTCTTTTTGTGTTTCAAGGAAGAAAGAACGTCATAAAGGTGTGGGTTGACAAAAGTGATGACAGAATGCTCATTTTTGCTGAATTATTCCTTTAAGAGAGCTGTAAGAATGTGAAAGTGTGTGAACGCTGTACATAAGTTGTTTCGAGTTTATACAAGTGTGTGTCCTCTCACTGTGCTGTCCTCAGGAGATATGGATGGTCACTGGTGGGACCATGCGTCTTGGCATAGCGAGGCCGCCTCAATGTCTATGGTGAGGCTTCTGACCCTCTCACCCCATTTCCCCTCGTTTAATTCACCTCTGCATGTTTTTGTTTCTTCTCCTTTTTTTTATATCACCCATAACCTTTAGGCAACATTCAAAGGGGGAAAAGAAAAACAAATGAGCAGGCATATTTTTTGGACGCCAGTTATGCCCTGTCTGAAAGGCAAAAGCGCTCCCACAACGACGACGCGGAGTGGTGCGAGCCGCAGGTCAAAGATTCAGGGGTTGACACGTGCAGTAGCACCACACTAAACGAGGAGCATAGCCATAGCGACAAGGTACTGAGACTGTGACTGACCTGCTCTGTCTGTTTCCTGCTCTGTCTCCTCTCGACCTCTTGTTTGCTTGGCTCCACTCTGTCTTCTGGCTGCAAAGCAGTGGCGTAGCCACGAGGGGGCCTGGGTGGGCCTAGGCCCCCTCATTTACATGTCCGGTCCCCTCAGATTTCTGATTGGTTAAAAAAAAAAAAAAAAAAAGTTGTTTTATTAGTATTGGTTACCAATCTATCAATTTTATTAGGATTGATAGATTGACCAATCAAAATGCTGCGCGGTAAAATGCGGCTTATTTTCAAACTTGATTTGTTTATATAACGTGTTGCGCGGAACGTACGCTGTCATCTTCATCTTTGCGTTAGAGTTAATATGCCATGACAATGGCAGGCGCTCAAACTCAAAGTACAATATTACACTTTTTTTAAAAAGCATGGAAAGATCAACTTGATATATATAAATAAATGTTGCCCCCTCATTTAAAGACGGGACCCCCCAAAAATAAAATTCTGGCTACGCCCCTGCTGCAAAGACGTACTGTAGCGCATCCTCACACACAGAAAGATGAATGACAAACTTCCTGGCACTGTTTGATCCATCTATGCTGCATGCCTCTCGATGCGGACAGACGCTCCATTCTGATCGCAAACCTGCTTCTCCTCACTTGGTCACGTTACGTTCTCACGCTGTTTCCTCCTTTGGGATTTTCCTGACATGATTTTTTTCCACACAATCCTTCAGTCTCAACTTAAACACAGGGATATAGACTAGTGTGGGAATCAATCTTGCACTAAGCAGTTGTTTTTCTTTTCCCCTTTTCACTGTCTCATCATTCTTCATGCTGCCCTTTCCTGTTCTGTCTTTTGTGTTTGTTGTTCACCATGTATTCCACAGTAGTGAACCGAAGTAGCTTGCTACTGTACATCCATACTGCTTGAGGGTGTGAGAGCGGTTTACTTTGCTTTTGTCTTTGGTTAATGGATTGTTCTTGATCAGTGATTCTCAACTGGTTCAAAAATGGGCAGATTTAAAGGAGTAGTTCACTTTTGCTGATAATTTACTCACCCCCGTGTCATCCAAGATGTCCACGTCTCTCTTTCTTCAGTCGAAAAGAAATTAAGGTTTTTGATGAAAACGTTCCAGGATTTTCTCCATATAATGGACTTCAATGGGAACCAAACAGTTCAAGGTCCAAATGAGAGTTTCAGTGCAGCTTTAAACGACACCAGACTGATGAATAAGGGTCTTATCTAGGACCCTTCGAGTCATGACTCGAAAAAAGATTTGTTCATCTTAATGAACGAGTTCGAACAGGAGAGTCACGAACGCGCATCACAGAACAGAACAGGGCGAGCATTTGTGCTTATAAAAGTTAAACTTTTTTATTTATTTTTTAAATGAGCGATCGTTTCGCTTGATAAGACCCTTATTCATCGTCTGGTGTCGTTTAAAGCCCTTTGAAGCTGCACTGAAACTCTCATTTGGACCTTGAACCGTTTGGTTCCCATTGAAGTCCATTATATGGAGAAAATCCTGGAATTTTTTCATCAAAAACCTTAATTTCTTTTCGACTGAAGAAAGAAAGACATGGAAATCTTTAATGACATGGGGGTGAGTGAATTATCAGCAAAAGTTTTTTTAAAAGTGAACTACTCCTTTAATGTCAGTTTGCGCCAGCACAAACCCTCTTTGTTTTGGCGTTAAACTACTGACAGGGTTTCCTAAAGACACACAGTAAAAAAATGAGTGCTGAAAAGGCATGGACGGGGTTATTTTTGCAGCTGACCTTATCCATTTGTAGGAGTTTCCCTTTCAGACGCAACATTTATAGGAAGAGAGTATTTAAATGAATCATGTTTTATTTCTGGTGTATTGCAATTAATGAAAGTAAATGTATCCTCTTTTAAAACTATTTTTAATTTATGTTGTTTGAATAGAGTGCCGAAGTGATGACGTCACTTTGTAGGACCACTCATAAACTAGCGGTGCATGGGTTCCCTCGATCGAAAAGCAATGCATTTTCCCCATAGACTTTTGGAAAATTGCAAAAAAAAAAAAAAAGATCTGTGTGATCCAAAATGTATACATTTTGAAGCCTTTATAAAGTTTTTAATAAGTTTATAATTGTTTAAAAGCAGGCTATAACTGTGTGTTTTATGTCATAGATCAAAATGTGAAAATATTTAGAGGCTTTGTTCACCACAGATCTTATTTCAGGCGATTTAGCAAAAACCCATTCAAAAATCCTATAGGCTTTAGAGCGAGGGAAGCGGTGTTCTGTCGATTTTTGCTGCCTTGTCGAAAAATGCTACCGTAGCGCGAATTGATCACAGAATGCCGATTAAAGTCGTATGAAATACAATTATAATACAATTCTAAGTTATGAGTAGCTACTGTATACTGTAGACTACTGTTTTTATTTTTAAAACGGTGTGAAAAGTAAAAATTATCCTAAAATATTCGTCTTTGACTTGTCAAAGTACACCAAACTTTCAGTTATTCTCGTTCAGCTGGCTGACCGCACAAATATTCATATGGTAGTAAGCATTTTTTTAAAGGGAAATTATACATTATAACAGGAAAATGTACCTTTTGTACCATAACCGGTAAGTAGCAAATCTCGATGGGTAGCATGAATCGTCAGAACACCGGTGCTAAAATGCTAACTCACTTCCGCGTTTTGGCCTACAGAGTGACATCGTAACTTCGGTACTCTATTGAAAAGGGGCTGGCTGTGTCCCATTGTACAAACCAAGCCAACTACAGGTTGTAACTTTGCATTTAATATTGCTTTTACTCAAATGAATAGTTCTGCTCCATGATTATGATTGGCTAAGTCACATTCTAACATGTAAAACGCTATAAACACACAGCATTTTACACATAATCACACAACTGCTTTGCGCCTATAGCTGTTCTAAAGTCACTTCTTATTGCTTTAATATATTAATATCTGCCCTATCAGAACTGTGTTTTGATCCACCAGTTGAGAACTGCTGATCTATTTCAATACTGTGAGTTGCTATCCACAGAATACTCCAACCCTGTACTGTCTATTGTTGTGTCTGCACTTGATGAACGCACAAACCGACCCCTACAGGGTGTAAACATATTTCGAAGACAATTACTTTCATGCTGTTAGGAAATGCCAAGATTCTGTCATCATTTAGTATGTCGTTCTACACCTGTATTACTTTATTCCTCTGTGGAACACAACAGAAGATGCTTTATTCATAATGGCGACTGAGGCTGTCAGGCTCAAACAATTGCAAAAACATGTACTGTACCACAAATCACGTTTTCTGAAGCCATGATAGCTTTGAGTGAGGAAAAAGTCACTTATTTTTACTAAAGTCTGTAAAAAAATGGCTTAATGTAAATGTTAATCGCTGGTTATCTTCACCTTCCTAGCAGCGTTTAAGTCTCATTCAATTCAAATGTGGTGAAAAGTTTAACCCCAGTGTCAAAATACTAAAAAATAAATAAATAAATAAACATCTTGATGCACAGGATGGGAACTCTTTCAGACTTTTTTTTATTAGATTGGTTTATGATATGAAAGTAAGAAAATGATGACAGGATCTTCAAATTTGTGTGAATTATTTCTTTAAATACTGTAAATGAGATGGTGTTTATTGCTTCTATAGGCCCACTTTTGTCATGACTTGATCAATCCTCAATAGGTAAAATCAAATACCATCCTAAATTTTTTTGTTGAATATCCATTTTCATTAGGATATACGATTATTTAATAAAGGATTTCATTTTGCCTTAAGTAACACCTTGGGATGGTTTGTGTTTTCACAGCAAGTAAGAGTTTACCCTCCTCCTGTAATTTCCCTGAGCCTGTGTGTGTGTGTAAGGTGTGGAGTGAATGCTTGTATATAGACCAAAGGTGTATTATCACTTTGACCCCATAGCACCCGGTGACATGGCAACCTTCCAAAGATGGAGAGCGCCTAATAGGGCGGATAGTGCTAAACAAGCGGATGAAAGATGGCACAGTTCCCAGAGACACGGGGGCATTGCTGGGCCTCAAGGTAAGAGATTCCCAAACACTGTCCGAGTTCACCCATTAAAAGTCATACTAATAAACCTCAATCATAAGAGAACTTCAGCAAATACTTGAGGTTTTACATTATCTTAATGATTTGAATTTTAATCTGTGTCTCAATATTGTGGACTGAATTTTGCTTGAGTTATTGTATTATAAATTGGTTGCACTTAAAACAGTACCCATTCCCACAAAGGGCACTATTTATGCTGATATAGTGCTCGAGTTACTGAAAGTTTGTCTTTCAGCCCTTGATGTGAATAGGGAGCAATTTCCCCTGGACAAACTGTATTTAGTATTAATTATATGCACTGTAAAAAAAATATTTTCATTATTTGTAATCACAACATTTTTTTCTTTTGTCAAATCAACTTAAATAATTGATATAATATTTTTAGTTTCTGATGATTAAATCAATTTCCGTCAATGCATTAACTCATTTTTTGCATTTCAATGAACTTAAAATTTTAAGGCAACCAGGTTACTTAATTTTTTAAGTTAAACCAACAATATATTTTTTTTTCACAATGTGGGTGTGTTTGCTTTGTTGTCTGATTTGCATAGTGTCTTTAGTAAAATTGGGTATACAGAAAATGCATGCAAATACGCAACGCTGTCAGTTCATTCATAGTAAACTCGCCCCACAGTATTAGCACGTGTGGTGTTGTACTATTTTGATGCCTGGAGATCATTATTTCTCTATGGTAGAGGTCAAATAGAGGTTTCAGTAGTTAAAATCCAGATAAATAGTCAGATATATTATATTTAATAGTCAGATATATTTTAAATAAATTTCATTGCCTTTGTCTTTGTTGCAGGTCGTGGGAGGGAAGATGACAGAGTCTGGCAGGCTGTGCGCTTTCATCACGAAGGTGAAGAGAGGAAGTCTAGCAGACACTGTCGGCCATCTACGACCAGGTCAACACTTCTGTTCAAACTGCAATTAAACACATTTATTTCAGTACTTTAGCATCTTTGACTATTATCCTTTTGAATTTTGAGGTTCCACCATATGACAAAAGAAGTGAAAAATCAAGCTTTTGCTCACACGCACACAAAATGAATCTCTTTGGTTTTATGAAAAACATCTTAAAGGTACAATATGCAAGATTGTTTCGCCACCAGGGGTCGCTAATCTCTTACAATAATAAAGGCGTATATTAATGACGTATATTATGGATCGTGTCGTCAAGCTGATGGATCTTTTATGGATGAGTGAATACAAACTTGACTGTGGTGTGAAGCAGGACGCGATTGCTAGATGTATACCAGCGCCACACGCAACACGAGTCCCGCGGATATAAAGGAATAAGGACATTTAATTCTACCGAACTACACGCTGAATTACTCGCACAGGTCAGTTTATTAGAGGAATTAAACTTGAGGTAACGCAGCGCTGCTTCACTTGCTCTAACAGTTTCACTATCAAACTAAACGGCATTTGTGTGTGTTGAATGTTGTGTGTTGGCTAGAGAATAACATACAGATCATATTCTAACTTTTCATCATGTTGAACTATATAATATTGATTAGTTTTATATACATTAATTTGCTCAAGTAACATGCAACACTCGCGTCTCTGTCGAGTCGAAGTTAGTCGCGGATGTGGAGCTCTCGGCATCTGGAAAGATGTTGATCTTCGTTCTAGTCCTCTTTTTGTCTCAAAGTCTGCTTGCCATGGTCCATAATGTTTGAACAAAACCCTGCTAGGGACGCTCACGCTGTTGAGCACGCACAACGGACATAACCGACCCAGTTGTCCGCGTCTGTCGCCATGGTTACTGTTGCAGGAAACCGGGGGTAACGCGGATATGACGCGGATATACGCCTCACATCACCAGGAATGTAAACGGGATTTTACTGATAAAATGTGTTATTTAAAAATCTCATTTTGCCAATTACATTTTCACATTCCCTTATTTTTGTGAATATTAAGCTAAATTAATCATATTTTAGTTAACCCTTCCACACGTAAGTTAAAAAAATTCCATCTGACCCCCAGCGTGAGTTTTTCAAGGCGACCGTTATTTAGAACCTTTCACTTTAATGTTTCCATGGTGACGCGTCATTGCTTGTCATGTGACAGAGCGCAACCACAACCTTTTACAGTCTATGACCACAACACTTTTTTATTTTACCCCTTTTAGTTCCGCATCCGTGCCGCGAAGATGTTTTAAAAAGTGGTGTGGAGAATATCGACCCCGGGAAAAAAGTGGTGACGTGCGTTAATGTGAACGCCCCCTCTCGGTATTTCAGACGCCCCCTCATCAGCGCTCGGCTGGCGCCGGCTCTGGCGACTCCTCACCCCTGCTTACACACCCCGTTTCCTTGGTTAAAAATCGCAATTTTCTTACGATTTACAAATAGTTGGAAACATTTGGGATATTGTAAGTAATCAACTAAACTAAATATTTAACATTGGCCTAGTCATTTTTAGATATTTTACTGCAAAAATCCTGCGTATTGTACCTTTAATTTGATTAAACCGCTGACGCTCAGTTGATATGGATTGCTTCTACAATGTCTATGAGTTTTTTTTTTTTATATATATTAAAATTTTTCAGTGGAGGGACAGAAATATTTTAACTTTATTTAAAAATATCTTAATTTGTGTTTCGAATTTTGATTAAACCGCTCGGTTCATGTGGATTATTTTTACAATGCCTTTATAAATATTTTGAAGTGTCAAGGTTTTGGTTTCATGGTCTTCCAATGGAGGTCTCATGGTTTTAAAATGACATTAAAGTGAGTAAATGATGTTGTAAAATTAGGGATGCACGATACATCGGCCACATTATCGGTATCGGCCGATAAATGATCATTTTTAATGTTATCGTTATCGGCCCAACAAGAACATTTAGCCGATATCTAAAAGCCGATAACTAATGTATTATTTCCTTCATCTGAGGCACTTTAGATGTGCACTGTTCAACATGATGCTTTTAAATTGCTTGAAATATGATTGAAATCACTTTAAAAAAAGGAAAATCCAGTTAAAGTGCAAAGTCTGTCATATCGGCTACAGAATGTTAAAATAAGAACATCATATTTATGTTTGTATCTTGACTTTTAATGAGGAGACTTTTTTTATAATCAGGCTCTCAAAAATTGTCAAAAAATTTGGATTTAGATTTATCGGCCAATATATCGGTTATCGGCTCTCAAATACAATGAATTATCGGTTATCGGTATCGAACAAAATTGTCATATCCGTGCATCCCTATGTAAAATTAAAAGTATGTTGTTTTAAGTGGATGTAGACATCCTGTATTGTATCCGTCCTCAGGTGATCAGGTTCTGGAGTGGAACGGGAGGGTCTTGCAGGGAGCCACATTCAAAGAAGTTTACAATATAATTCTAGAATCCAAGCCAGAGCCCCAGGTGGAGCTGGTGGTCTCACGGCCCATTGGGTGAGTTAAAGCGGCTGATGGATTATTACTCAGTATCTCAGTTCAGGGACACAGAGCACATTTTCTTTGACAATGGAGGCTTATGAAGAACGATAGCCTGTGGTAGCTCAACATATGAATGCTTATACACACACACATGTGGAAACTTCAACATTCTTGATTTGAAATGAAAGTCCTGCTTCAGGTCTGTGCTTTAGGAGAACATCTTGACATGCTTTACAATTATTGTTTGTATCTTTCAAAATGCCAGACATTTTTTTGTTCTACTGTACCTTCAGCCATTAAGAGTTTAGCACCAAAATGGTCACCTGCACAGGTTAACATTGACGAGCTCGGCAACATATCAGTGATGCATTTAAAATTAAACAGTAAAATTTGTAAATATTTGATATTTTAATGATGTTTTTATTTGGTAATTACATTTCCTAAAACACAATCAAGATAAGATTGCTGTTTATAACTATTATGAATTAACTATTACATAAAATGGCTGTTTGGTTGAAATGATTGAGATTAAAACCATGTCTTTGAATATATACAGTGTATATGTATATATATATATATTTAAATAATCAAAGCTTGATATTTTTTACCTTCCCGATTACCAGTGGTGGAATGTAACGAAGTACAAATACTTTGTTAATTTACTTAAGTACATTTTTCACGTATCTTTACTTTACTTAAGTAGAATAAATAGTGCATACTTTTTACTTTTACTTCGTTACATTTTGCAGCAATTATTATACTTTCTACTCCACTACATTTCTACAACTTCTGTTACATTTTCATTACATTTTCTGATCAGTTTTTTCCCAGCCAAAACGTAATCTGACCGTCCGTTCGTTGCACGTTTGTCTCACCGGTGACGTTTGGTTGCCATAGATATATCAACCCGTCACACTAAATGCGTCTCGGACGCAGTGTGTTTATCGTGCAATTTATTCGCGAAAATGTGTTTTTACGTGCATAGGAAACGCACCGTGTGTAATATACGTTTGGTTAGGATTATGGCAAGCCAAGAGGTTCAGAATTACACCATAAATGAATCTCGTTTACTGCCAAACATAGTTATTACCATATAGTAAGGATAAGCATGATGTGTATATTGCCTAATTGCAAGCTTTTTTCAGAAATGGTGACAATTTTTTTTCCATAATTATTGAACATCATTATAGGAGTATTAGGTTGAATGAGTTAGAATTAAATGTTTTATTAAATCCTTAGAAAATAGACATTAAGAGAATAAATTTTATATGCAAGTACTTTTACTTTTAATACTTAAAGTACATTTAAAATCAGGTACTTTTTACTTTTTACTTAAGTATGGTTGCCATTGTGTTACTTCTACTTTTACTAAAGTAAATATTTATCTGGTATTTATTTGTACTTTTACTTGAGTACTGAGATTCAGTACTTCCTCCACCACTGCCGATTACTTTCTGGATGTTTTCCATTAAAATGTTCTTCACTCTTTCCTTGTAGAGATGCCCCTAGAATACCAGAGAGCACACATGGACAACTTGAATCAAGTAAGTTTAGTTGGTTTTGATTAGTGGTGCATGACATATCGGCCACCAATATAATATCGGCCGATATGGTCAATTTTTTACACGTAGGTATCGTTCCGATGTCAAAACAGGGCTGATGTGAACAGGCCGATAATCATTCCTGTGTATTTGACGTGCGTGTAGATGTGAGTGTGGGAGCGGGGATGTTTGTTTTTGCAGGAGTGCATACATTACAAGCGCAAGTCCTGTCAGTTTAAAACATCAAGCATAAGAAGACTGGAACTTATGCACTGTTATGCACTGTATTTTTGTCCCGCCAAAACCTTATTTGACCCGTGAGTGATGTAGATGACTGACTTCTGCGCTTGCTTGACTGAGAGAACGAGCACAGGGTGAAAGCCCCGCTCGCTCGCACGCTCTCACCGTCTTCAAACTTTCTTGCTCTCTCTCCCTCCCTCGTGCATATTAATGAATTGAGTTGACTGAATATCTTTGAGAATACACACTGGTAAAGTGTTTTTTTTGTGTGTGAATTGTGCTAAAATAATGTTCGCAAACTAATGACTCCTTTGAACCGATTCACTTTAAAGATTGGTTAACCTTCAAATGGTCTTCGTTTCCTGTTTATACTTCTGTACGACCCCAACAATGGATTGAGTAATTGTACAAAAAATATATTACTTTTAAGTACTTTTTTTATCCATATACTACACAATTCCTCAACTACACCATTAGCTTGCATATTATTTTTTTTATGATGCATTGCGTTCATGCTCTAGTACTAGGCCTTCATTTATGTGTACAAAAATTCAGATTTATGCCAGATTTTTTTTTGACACATGAAGAAAATATATTTAGTTTTTTTCACATTTCCCATTCATTTCAATGTGGGGTCATATTGACCCTGAAGACCAGAAGTGTAAACATTTTTTTAGACATACCTTCAGAACAACTGAATCAAGCCCAGTTTTTGTGTGTGTATAGATAGATAATGTATGAAAAGTCACAAAATCGATGATGAAGGGAACCTTTTTTTTTTATTAAGTAAAAGTCGATTGGGGTCTTATAGACCCCATGACCCGATTGAGGGCTAAAACAATCGGTTATCCGCCACAATTTTCACATTGGTGCATCACTAGTTTTGATATATTGTTTGAAACACATCAGTACTTTAGCATTGCTTTAGCTAGCAGGAGGATCAATGATCTAAACCTTCATTCATTATTTTTCTTTTTAGGTTCAAGTTCCTTCGAATCCCAAAAAATGGGTCCCTCTATCTCTGTCACGTCCCCCATGAGTCCTGGCATGCATCGGGACAACCCTCAGTATCTGTCTGGACAGCTCTCAGTGAGTACCAGCATCTGTGCTCAATTGACTGATATCTAGACCTCTTTTGCTTGTCTTTGGCTGCTCAACTCAGGGATTCTCTGATGAAATGGTGCTAGCTTTGATGTTTAGCCATTATTTCAATACATCTCCAGGGCATTTTCCGGCACACATTATTCATTCACACAGATATTGGCTCAGATCAAGGAGTTATAGCAGATATGATTCGCTTTAAAAGAGTATGTGCAGAGTTGACAAATGGACATGATTTTTTTTTTTTTTTCAACATCAGGAATATAGTTAATTTATTCTACTGTTCAAAAGGTTGGGGTGATTACGTTTTATTTATTATTTTGCATTTATTTTTTATTATTTTATTCAGCATGGATGCATTACATTGTTAAAAGTGGCAATACAGACATTTATAAAGTAAAGATTTATATTTCAAATAAATGCTGTTTTCATCACAGGAATAATTACAGTTTCAAATATATTCAAATAGAAAACATAAATTATAACTTAAATTGTAATAATATTTCACAATGTTAGTGTTAGATTAGATTAGATTAGAGCATTACAGACTTCTATGGAAAACAATAAAACAAAACTTACTGACCTCCAACTTTTAAACTGTAGTGTATTATAAGCACATGGGAAAAAATATGTTTGCAAATAAATGAATATAATAACCACTATTATCAGATTTTTTATTTTACTGGTTTATTCGAATAGTCCTGCAGTGTGACAAATTAATTTTTAAAAATACAGATATTAAATGCGATCGCTCCTGATGTCCAATAATTATAATACAATTAAAAAAATGCTTTTCTTTGTAATTTTAACATTACATAAATACATGAACATCTAGTTCCACATAAATAAGAGAGAAACTCTCCCTCGTTCTAATTTAAAAGCATAAAATATATATTTTTAATACCTGCTAATGTCATAATTAGCTAAATGTTTGAGTATTCCCATGAGATTGCTGATTTAGGTTTAGACGTTATGAGTCACTCCACAGTCAGGACTGAGTAAGTGGTGAAAATACTGTAATTTTATACAATTTTTAGCACAATATATAACTTAATTACTAGCTTTTTTTAAAAAAAAATAGACCCTAATTAGGTTGTGCCGGTGTATTATAATTGTGCTTTATTTTGATACTTTAGTATTTCAGGTTTGTGGAATTCTAAATGCTACAAATGCGAAATTTAAATCAGCTATTTTATCTATAATGCAATAAAATTAAATGAGCAAAACATTGGATATTTATTTTTAAGTAAAATTGTTTACTTAAATATATATATATATATATATATATATATAGTTTGGGGCAGGTGTATTATAGTGATGTGAATAAGTTTGGACACCCATGCTAAAGTTGCCTAAAAAGAGGAATAAAAAATCATGTTTTGGATATTGATCTTAATGCCTTAATTAGAAAAATGAGGAAAACTCCAACCTTTAAGGACACCAATTTTCTTTGTGAATGAATAATGTATCATAAATAAATAAATGTTTTTCCTTAAAATACAGGGTGCATAAGTAAAGTCAGGACACCCCTATGTTAAATTCCCATAGAGTCAGGCAGATTTTTATTTTTAAAAGCCAGTTTTTTCATGGATCCAGGATAATATGCATCCTGATAAAGTTCCCTTGGCCTTTGGGATTAAAATATCCCCACATCATCACATAAGATCATCTTTCAATGCAAATCAAACCAGCTATTAGGCTAACTGAAGTAAAACCATGCCAATCTCTAGGTGTGGTGAAGGGTGTGTGATGATGTGGGGATATTTTAATCCCAAAGGCCATAATTCCATTTAATCACAAAGAAAATTCGTGTCCTTAAAGGTTGGAGTTTTCCACATTTTTCTAATTAAGGCATTAAGATCAATATCCAAAAGATGATTTTTTTATTTTAGGCAACTTTAGCATGGGGGTCCAAACTTATTCACATCACTGTATGTGATTGTAGACAGTTGTGTCAGTCCGAGACAGTGTCCGTCACAGACCTGGCTGGATTCTGGAAGGAATCCCGTAATGGAAAACGTATTCTTAGTTTTCAAGCTTGTTACCTGATTGACGTCGACTCTGCAGGTCAGCTCTGACACGGCGCAGGTGGATCAGGAGGTTAGATCAATTCCTTGAACGGATGGCTAGCTACTGTACATTTCTCTGAAGTTGTTCAGTCTACTTTAACGATCAACCAAGGTCTTAGCGGCAGTTTAAAACTTAGGGGAAGCGTATGAATAATTTACAGAGTGTGCATTATCAGTGGTCCTAACTTTACCCGTGAGACGTCTGTGAGGTAAGTTTCATCCAGGTGTTAGTGCTTTCATACAGTATAGTATATAGCAATTAGCAGTTATTGTTTCTTTTAATTGTTTAAAAGGGAAATGAGCTGTAGCAACAATTGGGAATATATTAGATATGGCTAGAGATTGTTTTTAACAGCAATAGTAAAAGAATTGTTTTTTTTTTTTTTGCACTGACGTGTATCTGTTTTTCTATCTTAGTATGGGTTGTGATGTTGTAAATTTGTTTTCTTTTTGATTGGAATGAAGGAGATTTATCCTAAAACCTGAAAACACACATATACTGATCATCATTGCTGCATGTTGTTGTTGACTGTATACATTATTGAGTAACATTATAAAGTTGAAAGGTATTTTATACAAGCTGTCCATTATATAGGCACACTGTTAGACCTTACCAGGTTTTTTACAGTAAAATACTGGCAACACTGTTGCCAGTAATTTACTGTAAAAATGCACTAAAACTCAAGTTAACTAAAAAATACAACTTATTAGTTTTAGTGCATTTTTACAACACTGTTGTCAGTAATTTACTGTAAAAATGCACTAAAACTCAAGTTAACTAAAAAATACAACTTATTAGTTTTAGTGCATTTTTACAACACTGTTGCCAGTAATTTACTGTAAAAATGCACTAAAACTCAAGTTAACTAAAAAATACAACTTATTAGTTTTAGTGCATTTTTACAACACTGTTGCCAGTAATTTACTGTAAAAATGCACTAAAACTCAAGTTAACTAAAAAATACAACTTATTAGTTTTAGTGCATTTTTACAACACTGTTGCCAGTAATTTACTGTAAAAATGCACTGAAACTCAAGTTAACTAAAAAATACAACTTATTAGTTTTAGTGCATTTTTACAACACTGTTGCCAGTAATTTACTGTAAAAATGCACTAAAACTCAAGTTATCTAAAAAATACAACTTATTAGTTTTAGTGCATTTTTACAACACTGTTGCCAGTAATTTACTGTAAAAATGCACTAAAACTCAAGTTATCTAAAAAATACAACTTATTAGTTTTAGTGCATTTTTACAACACTGTTGCCAGTAATTTACTGTAAAAATGCACTAAAACTCAAGTTTACTAAAAAATACAACTTATTAGTTTTAGTGCATTTTTACAACACTGTTGCCAGTAATTTACTGTAAAAATGCACTAAAACTCAAGTTAACTAAAAAATACAACTTATTAGTTTTAGTGCATTTTTACAACACTGTTGCCAGTAATTTACTGTAAAAATGCACTAAAACTCAAGTTAACTAAAGAATAAAACTTATTAGTTTTAGTGCATATTTACAGTAAATTACTGTTTTAGTGCATTTTTACAACACTGTTGCCAGTAATTTACTGTAAAAATGCACTAAAACTCAAGTTAACTAGTTTTAGTGCATTTTTACAGTAAATTACATTTTTACAACACTGTTGCCAGTAATTTACTGTAAAAATGCACTAAAACTCAAGTTAACTAAAAAATAAAACTTATTAGTTTTAGTGCATTTTTACAGTAAATTACTGTATTTTACTGTAAAAAACCTGGTAAGGTCTAACAGTGCATACTTGCATTGCATTAAGAGTCATATTTTGACACTATTCAGGACTCGCACTTAAGATTCTCACAGTATTGTAGTGTGAAGCAGTTTGATAAATGAATCACTCAGTTAGGCTAAATTTCTTCTCAGATGGGTTGTTTTAATTTGTGTGCGTCTGTGCAGTTTTGGTTTAGTTGTTTTGCTTTTGTTTTCTTTGTTAATTTTGCTTATCCAGAGTCCATGCCTTAGTAGAAGAACCACGCCTTTTGTCCCTAGGGTCCAGGTAACATCATCAGACTTCTCTCTCTCTTTCTCTGCTCAGTCTTTTCTTAATCTTTTCTTTCATTTCTGGCAGTCTTTCTCAATCCTTCATTACTCTCTCTGTGCGTTATTTGGAAAATGCACTGCAGGAAAACGGCAGCATTCCAAGTTTCTCCCCTTGCTCTTTTGTTAAGTTTTTATCCACCCCCCCTCCCCGACCAAATATGTCATTTCCCTTGCAATTTATAACCACAATTCATAAGAGCTGTTTCATTATTGCAGTCTGATTTTTGCTTAATTAATTGAAAGGCCATCTGGCTGAGACTTGAAATATTTTGTATAAATTACACACCTGTTTTAATAGTTTAAAGAGGCTTTTTTTGCTCTCTCTTCAAATGTGGCATGATTTTGTAATTAGCGTAAGTTACTAAATTAAGTCTCTTTAAAATAAAAAAAAGACTTTTTCATTATATTTGAATCATATTTTAAAGACTTGTATGAAATGCATGTTGCTAGTTTAAATGTTTACAATAAAAATAAAAAAGAGTGAAGAGATACACTGTTAATTGCCACACTTTCAAGATAATATTGCATTTTCCAATGTAGATTTTTTTTCTCTAAACTTCATAGATCAATAAACAAATTGTACCAAATGACTACAGTTTAGGCAAACACATATGACATGCTTTCTTCTGGGTAACAAATAAGTAGTAGTTTAAACCTGGCATGTTATGCACACAAGACATCATTGACAAAAAAAACTGCAGTGACATCTTAATGTGCCAAGTATTAAAAAAGGATACCGAAATATCGAATAGATTCCTCTTATCGATTCCTGTGGTTCAAAACCATTCAAGAGCAGGAAGACGCAAAATAAAACTCATTTCGGCACTTGGGTGCTGGACATATCCAAAGTGCACACACAAAATGTGACCTCTATTCTAATTGAGTGCTCGAAATACACACAAAATGTTGTCAAAATACTACCTTAAACAAACACAGTCATTTATGTCTTAAGTGAACGTAAACCATTGAGAAAGAAAACACGTGTACGTTGGTATGTTGAATCTGTGCATTAAGTCGTAAAGTAACAGCAGCCTAATAAACCTGCTGCCGTCTGTCATTAATGTTAATCAATGATTGAAAGAAAATCATTCAACGATCTTGACTGAATAAATTTTTCATGCACAAAAAGGTAAATATAAAGCAGAAAAGTGTGCTTTATAAGTACTAATAAATAGACAATATCCTAGTAATATGCAGTCTAATATGCATCTAGTTCAAAGTAAGAACTGACCCCTAAAATAAAGTGTTACTGTTTATGGTATTTCAGAATGTTTTTCAAAGACACACAGAAACAGAATAAATATGTTTAATATGTAAAAGTGTTTATGTGGGAATCAAAAAGAATCGGAATCGATAAGCAGAATGGGAATGGGAATTGGAATCGCTAAAACTATTCCTGATGCAGTCAACTAATAAAAACACAGACCTTGATACATCTGTGTAAGAATCAAATGGTACAATTTGTTTGGACTGAAGCCTCCCCCTGCTGTTTTTTGCAATGGAAGCTACCTGGATTGCCCTAGTCTGTATTGAGCACTTTCTGTTGCTTTGCTGCATGCATTAGTAATAGAATAGTATGTTCTCTCTAAAGATGCAATATAGTGTTTCTTTTAGCTTTAGTGATCTGAAAGGGCAAATGCTTGGAAGTGAGATGATTAAGCGTGTTCATGGAGGACCAAAGTACTCAAAATTGTATAATTAAATTTGTCATTTGTCATTCGGGTGTTATTAAACGTGACAAAATACTACTTTACTATGCAAAATAAATAAAAAAAAACAAAGGTGTAAGTTGATTACAGAATAAATTGTACAATTGGATATATGAAATATTACAAACAAATTCATTAGGAGCATTTCATTATTTGATTTAAAGGTAGGGTAGGCAATTTTTAGGCAAGTTAGCTTTGAAAGCATGAGATCCCACCCTCCGTTCAAAGTGCTCTCCAAAGCCACGCCTCCTTCAAAACACATAAAGAGATTTCAAAGCTTCATGAGACAAGAAACAGCGTTAAACTACCTCATTTCTCACGCTTATAGCATTACAATACTGTAATAATGAGCATTAACAACTTAAAGAGCACTGACTTGTACCACCTGACTGCGGCAGATTCATTTCACCATTGATAACATTGCCATTGAAACGCATAAATGGACCGAATGCAATGATTGGACAAACATTGTATGGTTCTATGCCTTCTTCAGACTATATAGATACATTTAGAGGACTTAACGTAGTGATTGCTATCGGGATGTGGACACTTTCAACCAGCATAACATAAAAATATCTATAATTCTGGAACTAATTGCCTACACTGCCTTTAATAAATAATAAACAAATAATCACATTTTAACTCATTATACTGATTATAAAAGAATTAATACATGTGACTTTTGATTTAATTGTTCATTCAAGTATAAGGACATTTAAGTTTAGATTTATTTAATTGCCAATTCAGGAAAAATTCATAATTTTTGTTGAGATGACTCTGATTATTTAATTATTTATTTATTCACATTTTTGTCCGCCGTGTTTCGAAACCTTCCAGTTTTTGCCCTTCTTGGTTTTTAGGATAATTTACAATGTTGTATGCATGAATGAGAATTAATATTTAGTTTATTTCATTCCCAGATAGATGCAACTGAGACTTTCACAGCTGCTTCATTTAAATTCTTATATAATCACACAAAGTTTAAAAAAAAAAGTTTTGTTTTATGTTAACTTTTCCTTTGCTTAGTCTCTTGTGTGATATTTGATTTGATTTGGGATTGCTGGGCTTTGAGAGTGTCTGTCAGTTTAAGAATAAAAGTGACAAATTGTGACTACATTTGAGTCATCTGATTGGATGAGATTTGTGGTAGACACGCCCTCATCCCCTGGCCAGCCAATGAGGAATGGAATATTCCACAACCCAGACTAGCACACAAACAACTGTTCAAATCCTCTCGCATGTAGCCTAACATGCAAGATTTCAGAAATCATAGACAAGTAGTTCCCCTCTACTATTTTGGGTTAAATGCAGTTTAATATATATTGATAAGGCATACGGCAGATTCTTCCAGTCTCAGTTTGTAAAAGAAGTGTTTTTCTGCTAGGCTCAAAACTAGGGTAGAAAATAGCCTATTACTAATTCATTTTGATGTTTTTGAATGCAAAAACGAAGCGAACGTCAGACAACAATAGAATAAAATTTAAAAAGCCAGTTCATGACCCCTTGAAATTATATTTATGAGTATTTTGAGTTGTTTCCGCCATTATAAGGGAAAAAAATCCAGCAGGAAGGTTTAACTCCACCATCTCCGGGAAAACCCCTTGGTCCTGAGCCACCACTGCAGGGGTCTCATTTACAGCAGGCCAAAATATATTACATTGGACGCAGCTGCCATGAGCCCCAGCAATCTTTTAATATTTTACAGTGATGGCTTGGACTAGATTGATCCTGGTTACTGTCGTCATGATGTACTCGATACGAGCGTGAGACAAACGTGCCGCCATTTTAGTGGAAGCCCAAACATCCCAGAGAAAGGTAACTTTCTGAAGGGGAGATAACACGCTCTTCTTGTAATTGAGCCTCAGCCCCAAGCGCCTTATGTGGGAAAGAACAACATCTTGATGTCAAACCACCATCTGCCAGGACTGGGCTAATCAGCCAGTCGTCTATATAATTGAGCACAAAAATGCCAGCCAGTGCTGCACCCACGTATGTTGTGAAGGTACGAGGGGATAGACGTTTAACCTCCTGAAACCTTTCAACGGCACTCTTCTCCCAGACAGAGAACACAAAACCTGTGTGTGTGCCCTCAAGTGATGGACTGTATCTGGACTTTTCGTAGCTTTCTTAGGCTATGTTTACACGGAAACGATTCTGAAGAGAAAACGCAAAAGTGGCGTTGCGTTATCACTAGAGCCAGACTGATATATCGGCAGACCGATATTATCGGCCGATATTTGGCATTTTCCAAACTATCGGTATCGGCAGTTATAATGGCCGATAAATGAATATTTCAAAAATAAAATAAAAACGGACGAAACACGCTTGAACCATGTCATGAGTGTTGGAGTTGTATAGTTTGTCCACCAGAGGGCGCTCTACACCGTTCCTGTTGGCAACACTCGTTGAGTTGGTCCCCATCAGTTCTCTTAACTCAAATAAGCATGACAAAATTTGTGACTATCATATCCAGTTTGAAATAAATAAATAAATAAAATATCAGCCGATATATCGGAATATCGGATTTTAAAACCCAAAAATGTTTGTATCGGTATCGGCCTTCAATATCCTTTATCGGTCGGGCTTTAGTTATCACTTTTTATTCTGCGTTTAGACGAGCGTTTTGGGTGGGAAATCCGTGTGCATATAGTGACGCAAAAGTGTACGAAATTCAATGTATTATGCATTCCAGGCGGCTGGGAGTGCATACTACAACACCACCAAGTCCGCGCGCCTGCGTAGAACCTTCACTGTCGAGCAGACTTTTGCGTTTTTATCGTTTACACGGGAACGTGGCGGTGGGGCGTTTTTAAGATTTCCACTGGAGGGTGGTTTCACTTTTTTGCGTTTTTAGGCCTCAAAAACGTCGCCGTGTAAACGAAAGGCACATCCGATCAAATATTTTTACGCGTTCTCGTGTAAACAAGGCCTTACTCGCCATAATTTATTTATTTTTTCAGGATAAACAACACCAAATGGGACATAGAACTTTAAATGGCAGTCTCTCACACACACAGATCACTTGCTGAAGAACAGAAGATGATGCTATTGTGTGCCAGCTTAGGGCGCAATGCCAATCAGGATAATAATAATTATTATTACTATAATACAACGCTCGGTTGTATCAGTCCGTAACTTGGAATATATAATTGAGTTATGGCCAGTCTAATGGTGGTGGTTAGGTTTGTGTCTCTAGCGCCACCAGGTGTGTAGACAAGGTACTGCACAATTTTTTTAGACCGGTCTGGTTAAACTTTTTTTTTTTTTATAAAGGGTTGTTTTAACAAACTCATCCAATCCCTATATAACAAACTCATCTAACACTCACAACACAAAACCACTAAAACCTAAAACACAGACCACTCAAAAACAAGAGCCCTTTATAAAAAAAAAAACACGTTTAACCAGACCGGTCTAAAAAAATTGTGCATTACCGTGTCTACACACCTGGTGGCGCTAGAGACACAAACCTAACCACCACCATTAGACTGGCCATAACTCAATTAGTATATATTCCAAGTTTCGGACTGATACAACCGAGCGTTGGAGATATATGGACATTTAAGCTTCAGCCAATCAGATGCCATATTTTAATGAGGGTGGTTACTAATGAGGGTGAAACTTGTTTTTACCTCTCTAGCTACGTCGCGGCCAATCAAATCAGGATTGGACTAGTTTCACACATGCTTCAGACACTGTTACGACACCAAATTCCCTCAAAAGGCAAAAATCGCTTTTAATTCTTTCCCAATAGTTAGTGCAATACAGTATGTTTACTGTAAACAAAAGTTTTTACAAACTGAGATGCAAGTAAAAAAAGAAAAAAAAAAGATTCTGTGATTAATGAAGCTGTATTCAACCTGGAATATTAAGAGCCCCCAGAAACATTGTGGTATCGAACTTTGTAATTCAGTTTTTAGAATTAGTTTGAATTTCGTATTTGTTTGTTTTTTTGTGGTGAATTTAGTTGATCATCAAAGTTGTTGAGAGGTAGTTAGCTTGATTTAGTTGGTGTGTGCTGGTGCTGTTCCTGCTCTGGGAAAGTTCTGCCAAGCATGTGACGCTTCTGGAACCTCTGGGGTCAGCTTCCGTCACACACCACCTAAGATAGTCCGTGTCTTCCCGCAGGTCAAGCTATGGTACGATAAAGTGGGACATCAACTCATTGTCACTATCTTGGGCGCCAAAGATCTCCCTTCACGAGAAGACGGGCGGCCGAGGAATCCCTACGTCAAAATCTACTTCCTCCCTGACAGAAGGTACCTGCACTTTACTTCAGAGCTTTTGTCCTTCAAAAGAATTTTGAATTTGTATTTTTAATTATGTGATTATATATAATTACACCATTTAATTTCAAAACTAAATGATGGCACTCACATTGACTAATTTTGTATTATTTGGGTCGGAATCAGTTATCAGTATCTATAATCAGCTTTCACATAAGCTGTGCCTTATCATGGAAAAAAGTTTCTCAGATCATTCTCAATATATTAATCTAATTAAAAGTTGCATCTATTAATATAAGTTAATGGACTTCAGCGATATATAATAACGAGTTAATGTCGTTGTTTAATGCTTTTCGAAATCATAACTACAAATGCATTTCTAAATGATCAGTCTTTTTAGGTTGAATAATATCCAATATAAGAATATAGGGTGTTTTTAGGTCAAAATATACACTCTTAAAAGCTTTCGGAAGTAAAAAGCATTTTTCAAGCCTAAAAATTTAATTAAAATGTAAAAGTGTGAAAATGTAAAAATTGTATAACAAACAAAAACAAAACATGTTCGGCAAACCTATATTTTTATAATATCTGCCACATAGAAAATAATTAATAATTTTATTAAAACAGTGATATTGTGAAATATTATTAACATTTTAAAGAACTGTTTTCAATTCAAATAAATTTTAATGGTTTTCTTTATTTTTAGCAGTCACGACTTCAGTCTTCTTCATTATTTTGAATATATTAATACATTGATTTGCTGCTCAAGATGCATTTTATTATAAATTATAATGTTGAAAACAGTTGTAGTGCTTAATATTATTGTGGACTTTAACTGTGAGACTTTTTAAAGATTATTTAGTGAATAGGATATTCAAATTAAACAAAAAATATATATTTAATTTTTATTTTTAGACACTACAGGTGAATAGGGTAACTTGCAGATATCACCATGAAACTTTCCCAGTTGATTACCTACATGAAAATGAGAAAAAAATATATTGCAAGTTTTCTGTAATTTAATGTTTAAATATGCAAATGAGTCATTATCTAATTAAATATGCACTCATTTGCATATATTTAAATCTGAGTACTGGATAAAGCCAGGTTCAAAATTATTTTTCATATTAGATGGATTATGGATATCTACTTTTGTTATCCTGTGAATCAGAATATACTTCAAATTGCCTTAAAATGATTTTTGCCATGTTTTTTGGGAATAAAATGTTATATAAATCAGGCTAGGAATAATATATTTACAAATCCCTCTGTAAATGTCTTCATAATATAACTAGGTACAAGACTGGAAAGTTTGGTGTATATCGGTGCCACTGACATCGTGCATTTAGAGTTAAAATTAAATCCCCCCTTTTACTTTCACGATTGGTTGCTGATAAAAAGGAAATGACCATATTTGGTCATAACGGTGTGTGTGATAGCAATCGCTGAGCAGCAGGATGATTTATAACAACAACTTTTGAAGAATTTATGAGAAATCTACAGACGCAAACAGACAAAGTGTAGTAAAATAAAGACCTAAATGTGTATTTTGGACTTTTTTTCACCACAAGTCTGAAAGAAGACGAGTTATTGAAGACAAATATCCCAAAATTGACCAGTAAAAAAAACAAAACAAACAATGTTTTTGCCTGCCGTGTCTCGCCTTAAAACCATTAAAGTCATGTTAGCAGCAGTAAAATATGAACTCACCTGTTCTTCTCAGCGATAAAAGCAAGAGGAGAACGAAAACAGTGAAGAAATCTCTGGAACCCAAGTGGAACCAGACGTTCATGTACTCGCCAGTGCACAGGCGAGAGTTCAGGGAACGGATGCTGGAGATCACGCTATGGGACCAGGCCAGAGTCCGAGAGGAAGAAAGCGAGTTCCTGGGAGAGGTGAGAGAGGAACACCTTCCCACTGTATTTTGTTTAGTTATAAAAGATTTCACTCTGTATGATGCAAGAAAACAGTTGTGGCAGCAATATCAGACATCATAAGTCATCATAAATGTCTCTGTATTTCATACCTGTGCTGTGTGTAGATTCTGATAGAGCTGGAGACAGCGCTGTTGGATGATCAGCCTCATTGGTATAAGCTCCAAACGCACGACGTGTCCTCCATGCCGCTGCCTAACCCCTCACCCTACATGCAGAGACGTCTCCTACACGGAGAGAGCCCAACGCGCAGGTTACAGAGTATGTACACACATCTACTGTTACAATAAATACAAACATGCTCTATTAAAACTGCTTAATAATAGTAAACTGTGTACATGTGAATGTGCCCGCATAGTGTAAACAGCAAAAGATTTTGAATCACATATTTAAATCCAAGACCACTTTCAGATGTGTAAATCATTTTCATTTTATGTCAATCATTCGTCGTGTCATTTTGTTTCATTTACCGGTTGTTTAAATAAAATTTGAATTGCTCTGTATCACATAGACAAAAAATATTAAAAAAATATACTTAAAAAATATATTTACATTTTTTTTTGTAATATACAAAAAATACAAAATGTATTTGTGAAAAAATACACAATACACTTTTCAAGATTTATTATCACAACATTTTTTCTTTTGTCAAATCAACTTAAATAATTTATTTAGTTGAGATAACTTATTATTTTGAGTTTCTGATGATTAAATTAACTCACTTTTTCCAGTTCCATCAACTTAAAATTTTAAGCCAACCAGGTTACCTACTTTTTTAAGTTAAACCAACAATATTTTTTCACAGTGAAGTTAGCGATCTCTATGCTCAGCGAGTCTGCATTTATTTGATCCAACAATAATATTGTGAAATATTATTACAAAGTTAAAAATAACTGTTTACATATTTGCTTATTATTGCTGGGGAAACTATGATGCATTTTCCTTTAACCCTTGTGCTGCATTAGATTTTTAACATCGTTGAGTGCATTAAGGACCAAAAATGGCCACATATATTAAACATTGCCTAAAATATTATATATTATTATTATTTTCCACTTTTACCAAGTTAAATCTTTTAACCAGCATCAGTCCTCATCATAACTACCAAAAATGTATTCAATTTCAGGATTTTAACCCTTTAATTACCAGTTTTGTTTGCGAAACCATCGATTTGTATAAGAGGAAAAAACACAAAAATTCAATTATTTTCAATAAACTAAATGCAAAGAGAAAACTTTAGATTTGGATTATCACAGTCCCACTTTGCAAAAAAATCCCACTTAGCGCGTTAGAGACCAAAAATGGCCACCTATTAAACATTGCCTATTGCCTAAAATAAGGTGCATTTCCACCCATAGGGAATAAATATGTAGTGACGTCATCTGGTGGAATACACTATATAATGCAAATATAATGCTTTTGCTTCAAAATGAAAGGATGTTTGTGCAAAAATCATGTTTCATGTATTACTGACAGCCTCAGATTTAAACAAGTTTCAATGGGCCATTTTTGGTCTTTATGGTGCTGAGTGTTACTATTTGATCTACACAGTGTGTGTTATACATATTTTGCAAAATGGGATCACATTTTTTACATGTATCCAAAAAGTCACAATTTTGCCAAATTTCATACCATTTGCATTAAAACAGCCAAAATGGTCAAAGAAATTAAACTGCAAAAGACCAAAAATGTCCCTAATGCAGCATAAGGGTTGAAATTGTATGTGTAGAAAGTTTGTTTTTGTTTTTGTTGATGTGTTTCTTGTTTTCATGTTTTGTTTCCTTCAAAAAAAAAATTTTTTTTTTGAACACATTTCCAGTCAAGAGCCCGTATTTATACAACTCAGGTAACTTTGACCTGCTTGCTCCAGTTAGCATGTGATTGGCCAGCAATGTGATTACTGTCCTTTACACTGACCAAAGTGTGATCTCCCCTCAATTCCGCCTCATACTCTTCAGAAACCCCCACTATTCCACACAGCTTGCATGGAGTTAATGGTCATCGCTGCTGCTACATGCCACCAATCCTCATTTTAAAGCTTATATCCCTTCGTAGGCCTGATCTTCACCATTAGAAACTATAAACCAGCCCAGTTAATAGCCGTTCCTGAGCAGATCTTTGTATGGACCGCTAACGCTTTTCCCAGTCTCTCACAAACCTTTCTGTGGTTGATGTTTGCTGTGTTGATGTTTCACCATTTAATTTCAAAACTAAATGATGGCACACTTGGTTTTACTCACATTGACTAATTTTGTATTATTTGGGTCGGAATCAGTTATCAGTATCTATAATCAGCTTTCACATAAGCTGTGCCTTATCATGGAAAAAAGTTTCTCAGATCATCCTCAATATATTAATCTAATCAAAAGTTGCATCTATTAATATAAGTTAATGGACTTCAACGATATATAATAACGAGTTAATGTCGTTGTTTAATGCTTTTCGAAATCATAACTACAAATGCATTTCTAAATGATCAGTCTTTTTAGGTTGAATAATATCTAATATAAGAATATAGGGTGTTTTTAGGTCAAAATATACACTCTTAAAAGCTTTCGGAAGTAAAAAGCATGAATTAAAATGTAAAATTGTAAAACAAACAAAAACAAAACATGTTCGGCAAACCTATTTTTTTATAATATCCGCCACATACAAAATAATTAATAATTTTATTATAAAATTCAATTTATGTTTAGTTCACAATTAATTCGAAATGTTAATATTTTATTATTATTATTTTAAAATATGTTAATATCATAATTTCAATATTGGTTTATCTCTGATGCTAGTTTAGTATGTGTGTTTGCTGTGCTGTGACCCTAACTAGATTACTTAACCACACGTGAACCGCCCTGTGGATTACAACAGACGGTCACGTTAAGAGGGTCTTTTCTTCATTATGTGATTTGTTCCTCCACCCTCTTTCTCGCAGGATCACAGAGAATCAGTGATGGCGAGTTCTCTGATTACGACTGTGAGGACGGGATCGGTGTTATCTCAGGTACAGCGAGTCACCTGTCTCTGCTCTACTTAGAAAACGTCTCGTTACGTAGAAAAACCTTCGTATAGAGACGTCTCGTTGGAGGAGTTTCCAAAGAATTGGGATCCCGCTAGGGAGACCAATTGCCTTCGAGTGAATTAAACTGAGCCAATGGATATTGGCATGCAGGACTTGCCAGGAGAAGGAAACGCATATTTGTGAAGGGAATAAAACAACTCCAACAGTGTCTCTGAAAAAGCCAAACCTGTGTGTACTTGTTGGAAACTCCTCCGACGAGATGTAAAAGTTCCCGAACGAAAGGGCACTGAAGACTTAAGCATCATTGAAAGCATTTTATTTAGTACTTTTCAATTAAATTCAGTGCTTTTGTATATCTCAAATTAATTTCTAAACTTTTTTTAGATGTAAACATAAAGCAAAGTTATACTGTAGAGTTATGTTTACACTTCAATCACATTTTAGTGGAAAGCGGACACAACAGTGTGATTATACACCGAGTTTGGGTCAGACTGTCAGTCCAAATATTGGAATTAAATCATATTTAGCAAGTGTGAATGCCAAAAGTCACATGAAATCCAAGTTTCAAGCTACATTTATATATGGTTTGAAATCCTATTCAAATATAATTTATAGCTTTTCTAATATATGTCTCTTTGTCACGCCACGTAAAACGTAAACACTTGCAGAAACAAGATTGCTTTGAGTTGTTGTCAGTGTGCTGGTCGTGTAGAAAATAAAATAATGGAGACATCGTCCAGTGATGACGTGTATTTACTTCTTCTACTGCATGGGATAAAGCCGCTGCTTCATTAGTCCAGCGCTGCAGTCAGATACACGTTGTCTTATTCTAAGACAGCATTGCAAACCCCCTCCATGTTGCTTTTGGGGTAGTCTTACCAATTCAACATCATTGCCGTGGAAACCAACCCAGATATTCTGGACAATGAAAGACGTTCCAATCGAATCCGACATAGTCTTATAAAAGTCTCTTATGCTCACCGAGGCTGCATAAATTTGATTTCAAATAGAGTAGAAACCGTTATATTGTTAGTAATATAGGGCTGTGCAAAAATGAATTGCGATTAATCGCATCCAAAATAAAAGTCTGTGTTTACATAATATATTTGTATGTGCTGTATATAATTGTTTTGTATATATAAATACCTATGCATGCATGTATATATTTAAGAATTATTTGCGCTTAAATTCTGTATATATATATATAGACCATTTCACAAGATGTAAACAACACTGGTCCAGAAGCACTTCCTGTTTCAGTTTGTAACGGTTTTCTTTATTTCACATGTAAAGAAAACATCTTAAAGATTTTGTTTAACTTTTTGATTCAGTTTTAAATGTTCAGTTGGTTGTATTTTATCCCAGCTTTTATGTAGTGTTAAAAAACTGAAACAGGAAGTGCTTCTGGACCAGTGTGGTTTACATCTTGTGAAATGGTCTATACATAATCTATATTATATAAATATAAATATTTTATATATGAATAACACATTTTCTTAAATATATACATGCATGTGTGTGTATTTATATATATATATATATATAAAATAATTATATACAGCACACACAAATATATTATGTAAACACAGACTTTTATTTTGGGTGCGATTAATCGCAATTAGTTTTTAGCCCTAAATGTGAAATATTATTACATTTTAAAATAACTGTTTTCTATTTGAATATACGTTTTTTCAAGCAATTTTTCAGCATCATAACTGCTCTCTTCAGTGTCACATGATCCTTTAGAAATCATTCTAATATTTGATTTTCTGCTCAAGAAATGTTCTTGTTATAATCAATGTTAAAAAATTTTTTTCAAAAAAAGCATCATTTATTTTAAATAGACATTTCTGTAACATTAAATAAATGAAACTGCAGAAGGATGTCTGTTGTCTCTGGAATGATCTTTTTGATGTCTGATTGCACGTGGGCTACTCAGGCCTTTGTGTGTGTTCACACATGCTGATAAACAAATCAAATTAAAGGATATTGTCAGAGAGAAGATTACTGTGAACTTTAGCACACGGAAAATCCTCAACGTCATTTCACCCTGACGTTGTGACAGGACTTTTAATGGTTGTGTTCACTTCTTAAGGCGTCACATTATCATGTTCATGAAGTGCCAAAACCCCATTGTATTAGATAATATTAAGAATAATGCTCCACGTTGTTAAATGTCTGTTGTGTTGTGTTTGCCTCAGATTACCGGCACAATGGCAGGGATTTCCAGAGCTCCACTCTGTCTGTACCTGAGCAGGTCATGTCATCCAATCACTGTTCACGATCAGACATGATGCGCACACGTTCACGCTCACCCAGCGTTCCTCCCCCACAAAGGTAATCTACGACAGAAAACACAAATTCGTGATTTATGTGTGAAGGGTCATATCGTGTGGAATATTTTTGGAATTATTTGGATGCTAACTATCAGAAGATGCCTTCTGTCGTCTGATGGATACTTTATTCTAAGTAAAAGGCCTTTTCGGATAATTGTACTTAACTTTTTGTATTCAACAGAACGATAAAATATTGTTATCAATGAATTGTTTACATTACAAATTATTATAATTAGTAATATCAATTAATAATAAATGGGTTACATAGCAATATTTTATGTTGGGCGTGTAATCATTTGTTTTTGAAAATTGTTTTATATTTCAAACATTTGCCCAGAAGTTTTTTTTGTTTTTTTTTTTAAATTATTTAAAAATGTTTTATTTGGATATATATTTTGAAATGTTAAAAAGAAATAGTCTTTTCCATACAGTATAAACTATTAATTGATTGAATTTACAGAAAAGGAACTATATTGTGATATATTGTTATACGTGATGACTTATATTTTGATTAGGGCTGTCAAATGATTAATCGCATCCAAAATAAAAGTTTGTGTTTACTTAATACATGTGGGTGCACTGTGTATAATTATTTTATATATATATAAATACACACACACATGCTTGTATATATTTAAGAAATATTTTCATGTATATAGATGTATAAATATAAATATTTTATATATAAATATTTTTTTTCTTAAATATAAATGCATGTGTGTGTGTATTTATATATATATATATATATAGAAAATAATTATACACAGTGCACCCACATATATTATGTAAACAAACTTTTATTTTGGATGTGATTAATCGTGATTAATCATTTGACAGCCCAAATTGTGATATGAGATTTTGGTCATATCGCCCAGCCCTGACATAATTATTAGCAGTCATAGAGTAACAACATCTGTACTGTTAGTAATATCCTATTGTTTTACACTACAATAATTTCACCTTACATTTTTGGCCATGTTAATGTTAGCAACTGCACCAAATTACATACTTTTATTCATCTGAATAAATGTATCATTCATTTTAAAAATTTATCTGAATAAATAAATGGTCCTACATCATAGGATATGAGCCATAAATACCTGATGTATCAATTATGAGACAAAACATAAAACACATATGCAAACTTTATTTTAATTTTTTAAAGAACAAGATTGTCTTAAGGTTCAATAAACCGTTCTATTTAAAAAACGTATTTGTTAACGTAAATAAAATATAAATATTTTATCAGTTAAATATGGCAGTTCTGTTCCTGGTGCTCATTGTCAAAGCAGGGCTCTCCTTTTCTTTCCCCTCTTTCAGTCGAAGTTTAGACCATGGTGTGAGAGGAGCACCATCTCTTTACGGCCCCCGACAACACCTGTCCGAAGACAGATACTCACCAGACAGGTATGTGTCACATGACACGCAAGAGAGAGCGCTTGTGTTTATTGTGCCCTTAAAAAGTTGCTTGTGTCTTAGATTCTCACAAATGGGAATGTTGCCATATACCGTCCTTCATCTTTTCAGTTAACGTGATTATGCAAATTCAGTGTGACAAATATGATGTGCCAGCAGCACATAGAGAACCGTAGGAAGGTTTAGTTCGTTTTTGAGAAAGCAGGGGAAAAAAAAATCTGTTCCTCCTCATTTCTCTTTGACATCACTTTTTTTTTAAATCCATCAATCTCTGCCTCTCTCGCTTTTATCTTTCCATCGCTCCATATTCAATAGCTCCATTCAGCCATATTTCTGTTCTTTGATCCCTGTGGTTGCAGCCAGTATCTTACCCTCCCTCCTCGAGCCAGACACAGACAGCCAACCATCGACCCCGCTATCCAGGACCCCAGGTATTCTGTGACCCCACGCGCCCCCCTCCCCCTTCTGTCCAATCACAGCACTCCTCTCACTTTCACCCACCCCCTGCTGCTAGCTGATTGACAGATGACAACTTGCCCACACATGGCACTGTATAAGAAACACGAGGCTGTTCTTTCACTTTAATAAGTCATAATAAGTATGTAATTAATTCACTCATGCATTATAGATCTCATCTTCGGATGATATGAGTCATGTTTTTACATTTATTACTAACACTGTCACAGTCTTGACTACCTTAAAAGAACGTTCAGGTTTCAATACAATGAAAGACCTAAATAGATCAACGTGATCCGTGAAGATCTGTCCATTACCATTGAAACTATTTTGACTTGCCCTTATTCTGTAAAAACGAACAAAAAGTAGTAATGCACCATTATACGAAATGCTGATTTTACTATTTTACCACAGAGGTCCCCAGTGAACTCTTAAAATGTGTAATGCGTCTACATGAATAAATGCCTGGTAATCAATAATTTCCATCATTACTACTCCCATGAAGAGTAAAAACAAAACAAAAACAAATCTCTATTATGTGATTCACTTTACCGCCTAACTTCCAATAGTGTGATGGAAAGCCTAAAGGATACTTCAGTTTTGACATAAACTGCGCTTAGCGTATGCATACTGCCGAACACACAACCTTTCAAAGTACAAACACCTAGAAAGTTTCATCTTCGTTCAATTTCTGTTCTGTTTCTTGACAGTCATCTACAGATGACTATATTTATGCAATGTGCACCGTACACATACACGTAAAACCCAAAATATACTTTAGCCAATCACATACTGTTTTGGAAATTAAGTGCAGTCTATAATGCGCCTTGAAAAGCTAATTGGTCTTTTGGTATTTTTGACGCACATAAAAAGCCCCACGCTGTTTAATGAATTCACCCCAGTGTTGTGCATTTGGTACTTGCTAGCTTGTGATAGTAATGCATGCAAGCAGTCATACTTTCACATTAATTCACACCACCAGAAAAGCACTACATTTTCACTTCTGCGGGTTTAGTAAATCTTTGTTTCGATAGCTTAGATAGTTGTCTTGACTTGATTTCTGCTTTTGTGCTTCACCTGGGTTGGGTTGCACCAGCCGTTCGTAAGTTCTTTCTTAAAATGTAACGTAAAGTCCACACTGGAGGCTTAGGCCGTGTGTCCACCAAAGAGACCACTAGAAAAGTGGAAAGTGTGTCCACTAGACGCTCTGCTGAAGACGCCGTGCTTTGGGCGCTTGAGAGCGTTTTGGCAGCGCAGCGTTTTTTCCATTGAGACGTTTCATTGCTATGAATATCCGCAGCAGTTTGAATGTTGTGACAGTTGGTCGGTGTGGTATTAGTCCCGCCCCTCCTCCACTGTGATTGGACGGCTGGGTAAAAAGTGACAGTGATGAGCGCTGCGTTTTATCCAAAGTTGAACATTTTTCAACTCCCAGCGACCAGTAAAAACGCCGGCCGCTCGGCGCTTCAGCGTGAAAAAAAACGCTCAGCGCCTCGGTACACTCATGGCGTTTAAAAAACGCGGCACTCCCATTGAAAACAATTGAAAACATACGCCAGGCAAGTGAAAAAACGCTTTGGTGGACACACGGCCTTAGTTAACAACTAGCTAGTTTGTAACTAACTCTGTACTTTATTCCGTTGCACCATTTGTTCGTAAATTAGAACGTAGCTAGTAGGTCGTAAACTCTCGACGTTTAGCCTCGATGAACCAATAGCAGCCTTCACATGCTTGAGCAGAAGTTGTGTTGAAATGCCGTGAATTTCAGTTTATCCTTTATTCTAACTTCTTTTGCGGTAAAAATAAGATCCATTTCATTTGATACTTAATCATGAATAACATACGTTTTTTTATATATATATATATTAAATAACATTCAGTTTGAGAATTGTATTGAAATTAAATGTACTGATACAAAAAACAAGAAATTACGTTCTGCCGTAAATATTTAGTTGGAAACTAAGACTTGCATTTAAACTAAGTTTAATGATGCAACATAAAAATATTAAGTAGTGCGTAAGTTGTAACTTAGGCCCCGTCCACGCTACTGCGTTTTCGTTTAAAAACGGAGACATTTTGCTAAATTTGCACCGCGAAGAAAAAAAACGAAGAAGTTAAGAAACGAAACGAAGAAGTTAAGAAACACTGCAGCTCCGTTTTAAACCTCCGGAGGGCGTTTTAGTGAAGACAGGAGCAAAACGGATGAGTTTAGGAACGCTGACGCAGAGGCTCACGCTCGGCTCTGTGATTGGGTGTCATAAGTCATGACGTGTCCTTCCCTGATTCGTCAGCCACTGTTTACACCGCATGCCCAGTGTTGGTGAATGGTCACGTGACCCGCGTTTTCAGTCGTTTTAATGTGGACGGAGATCAATTCTAATACGCAGATAAGACGCTGGTGTGGACGGAGATCGTATTCGTTTTAATTCTCCATTTCTAAACGAAAACGCGGTAGTGTGGACGTGCCCATTCACGTCAAAAGTAGACACAGCTGGTGCAACCAGCCCCTGATCCCTTCTTTCAGAGTAGAGATGCCTAAAAAAAGTGTCCCACCCACCTCTCACCACCCAACTTGTCCCACCTGTCTCTAACTACTGCACTTTCACTTTCTGTTCTGACTCGTAGCATGTGCCCTCTCTATCGGGAAGACGCGGTCAGGTTACTGCGCTCCACTAGGATGGCCCGTGCATACTCAGAAGGGTACAATAGCGTGGACAGGTAGTAAACCACAGCGGTTCTCATGATGCCGTGGGTAGTAGTTTGGGCTAGAATAGCTAGTGCCTCCTTTCAAAATGTTTCATGTTTATGTCCCCAGATTTACGAAGGAAACTTTCCAATGGGCGGAAAAGGAGACAATAGCGTCAAATGGGCCATTTTCTTACAGAAATGTGGTAAATGTTTGAAAAACAGTGGCAAGTTTAAAGCGTCAGTCCTCTGCCCATTGAGAAAGCTTTGTGCCGTCGTCATCATAAAGTTATTATGGCTCCTCTCAGGAGGATAAACTTTGCAGACCATGCTACTAAGTACGCCAGTAATCTTAGAACAATTTTTGTGAAATGTGCATGTATGTCTCTGTAGCAGCTCCCACTCCACCATTCCCACTGTGGCGTGATGAAATGCATCTTCAGCGCTGCTCACTGGATGGCTTGTGTTGTTTTGATGACTGAGCACTAGCTCTTTCGGTCCCAAGCCAACTAGCGTACCCAACTGCCAGTCAGAAAACTGCAAGCTTCAGTGAATGTTCACCATGTTATTTATAAATATATTATTAACCCCTCAGAAATATAGGATTGAATCTATTCAGGATGTGTAGTAGAGACTCAGATATTATGGAGTAGACCTTGCCAGCTTTGGTGTACGGAAGCCCTAAGGTGTGATACGATTCACATAAAATGTTTGCGCCATTCACATTTTGAGTAGTCAGTAGTCAATTTGATTCGATTTCGATTCCGATTCGATTCAATATTGATTATTTTGGATATCGGTTGCAATAAATGGCAAATTTTCTCAGGGAAATCAAATCTCTTAACTAATGCTGTAAACTATGGGAGTCTAGTTGTAGCCTATAGGCTTCAGTAGCCTAAAATGAAGGTGTTTTGTAGCTATACAAACACTTAAATTACACTTTTATTTATTTTTATAATAAGAAGATTATATGATATAAACATTTAAATGGTGGCTGTCAAAAACTTGCCAGATTTATTCAAATATGCATTAAATATTGAAGAACATTAAGATTATAATGCATATGTAATATGGTGTATATATTTAGCAAAATGCTCCTCTCTAGAGTTATTTTTCTAGCTGACTAACGAGTTTATGTGAGTTTTCTGAGGTAAATATGACGATGACATTGATTACAAGCTGTTTAACTGACGTCTTTCCACGGTTGAAACGCTGATTGAGTGAATCAATGTGACATGATACGGATTTGGATAAGTTGTACTCTATCTTTAACACACTTTCAGATGCTCATTCATGTTTATTTGGCGCTGTGACTGGTATTATTAAGCCGGAAGAGAGATCAGCGCTGCTGCTTCTCCAGAGCGATCTCACGCCACAGCGACAAAACGTTATTTATGTTTTTGAATTTCTAAAGAAAATGGACGTAATTTGAAATTTGAGACTTTGTTTCATATCAATAGTAACAAAGGACAAAGATTATTGCGATACAATGTTCCATTCATTCAAATGAAACAGGATGACTAATCGATTCTTGAGATTTAAGAATCGATATCGGTTCGTAAAAATGAGAATCGATTAATATCGAGAAATCAATATTTATTACCCAGCCCTAATAATTTTGACGGCAAAAAAAAGTCAAAAGTGTTGTGATGTGTGAAACAGTTCACAAAAAAGTCCCTTTCAAACCAAGCAGCTTACTGTTGTTCAACGAGAATAGATCACATGACCAACTTTAACCCATTTCGGAATCTGTTTCTTTGAAATCTTAGATTTCCTCAGAGAATTTGTGTAGACTTTGTGTGGTATGAATAAACTGATAAAAGGTATACCTTGAATGCAATGGGAGTCATTTTGGGTAAACGTGTCTACCAAATGCATAAAAGTAAATGAGATTTTGTTTTGTCATTTATCAAATGACAAAAATTTACGTAAATGGGTTTTGTCATTCAATTACGAATTTGAATAATTATTCCATTATCCTACAAAAATCGTGAGTGATGTGTAATAATGATAATAATTATCGTGAGAAAATGTGAATCTATAGCACTTTATGGCTGCATTGGAGTTCTTCTTGGCATGTTTGGCACATAGGATCTGATTATGTGTTATTTTGTGTTCAGGAGGATGAGGAGAGATAGACAAATGTCTACCTACAGTGATTCTTTTGATTCACCTGAGAGGTAAAACCCAGATACTGTACCTAAGTTGAGACATGCATTACAATAGCATCCATAATAGTACTCAAGTGGACTATTTTACTATAGAGACATAACTTTCACCCCTTGCCCGAATTCAGCTGTTGCTCATTCTAATCATACTTTCCTTTCTTCATTTCAATCTATCGTTCCTCATCCTCCATTTAAAGATATTACAATGGGCCCAATCATGTATCTACTCCATGGCCCAATCATGTCATGAATGGAACCAGTGGGGACTACAGGTAAGACTTCTGTAGAGATAAACACCCACAATACATCACAAACTCTTTCTTTTTTACTCATCAGTTATTAACTGCTAGAAACCGATGTCCAATTTATGTTCCCGCTGAAATGGATTTGAGACTCCTGATTATTTTATTTTATTTTATTTATCTTCTCAAGCACTGACCTTTTATACATTTTCAAGCAAATAAAAACTGAATATCATGTACTAAGTGTGGCACTAACACACTGAGGTTGGTTTATTCAGTAGGACATGCCCCAGGATAGAAATTGAGCCATCTACAGATACAGAAAGGTATTATTACATTGAGTTAAATAGTTTCAGTAGATGTTTTCAGTGTAGACCTTTAGATGTTTTAGTTATCCTGTTATCATTTTTAAACATCATGGGAAGCTTTAGCACAGTGAAAAACAAATCACACATTGCTTAAATGATTAGAAGGTTTAGCAATAGCACAACTAAATAAATTTTTTAAATATATATTAGTATGGTACCTAGTTTTAGAAACGTAATGAAGTTAATTTAGTTTTAGTTAGTTTGTTTTGAAGTAGAAACCGATTCTCACTTTGAACAGTATACTATGCTATACGTTATCTATAAACTCTTATGAAAAAGAAGGACATTTTAGCATACTTGAAGTATGAAGTGAATGTAATGTTTTTACATCACTTAATTGCATGTTAAGTGCAATTCAATTAAAATGTATTTGTTTAGATTTATATTATATGTAATTGGCTGAATTGAATTTGTTTCGCACAATAAAAGGTTATTGAAACATAATGATTTAAAATAAAACGTACATTTTTGACCTTATTTTGAAATGCTCTTTTACTTAAGTCTCCTTAAGTGTGTTATGTACTGTACACTTAAAGCTACATCAAATAAAAAAAAATTTCTACCTTAAAATAATGTTTCCAAAATCGTTTCAGTGGTTCATTAACTTCTGGATTCGCTTTGCGGTCCTATATCTGCCTCAACACGCTATGTAAGTTTGCCAGACCGGGTCGCGTTTCTGTAGTTGAAATGAGAAATAAGAAAACTACAAATCTGACTAGCATTACAATTAGAGCCAGACCGATATATCGGCAGGCCGATATTATCGGCCGATATTAGGCATTTTCTAAACTATCGGTATCGGCAGTTATAATGGCCGATAAATGAACATTTAAAAAATAAAACGGATGAAAACACGCTTGAACCATGTCATGAGTGTTGGAGTTGTATAGTTTGTCCACCAGAGGGCACTCTACACCGTTCCTGTTGGCAACACACGTTGAGTTGGTCACGAGACATACATCGCTTGAATAACAATTAAAAGAACATCCCCATCAGTTCTCTTAACTCAAATAAGCAGGACAAAATTTGTGACTATCATGTCCAGTTTTGCTGCTGCTAAATAAGCCGAGAGTGAAGCGGAATTAGCTAGTAATCGTTACGTTACGTTGTTACAGTGTAGTCGACGACTGTCCTTTTAACTTTTGACAACGTGACTGAAGTATTTCTTTAATAGCGTGTGACAGTTATAGCAATGAGACGCATCATCTCTCCTTGGCCTGTTATATTGAAAATGTATGTTTTACAATTTGCAGTATGACGTTATCCATTGCTAAATTGTGGACTAGCTAACCACAAAGCTATCAACTATTCTGTGCGTCAATAAAAGAAACAAGTTTATTTTTAAAATGCTTTATATTATTTTAGTTAAAACTCATAAATAACGACAAATAACTAATGTTAGGGAAATCTGTTCATGTTTTATTGCGCGTTTCTGAAATAAAAAAAGAAATATCGGCCGATATATCGGAATATCGGAACAAATATTTGTATCGGTATCGGCCTTCAAAATACTTTATCGGTCAGGCTCTAGTAGTTACAATAGTATTTTTTTTCGTTTTTCTTTGTTTCTGATGTCACAATACATCATACTTTACCTTGTCTGTGGACATCGTTCATTCCAGAGCCGGTGCTGGATAAAAAGCGAGCGAGCGTACTACAACATGCTGCGGGACGTTAAATTATTTACGACAGCGTTAATGGACAATTCCGCTTCCAACCTGTAGGGCGACCGCAGAGGAAAAGTTATTTAGTGTTGCTTTAAGTGTACTTTCATTAATATTATATTATCTGCAAGTACATTTTAACAAAAAAAAAAAAAAAACACTATACACTATAAGTGCTCATTTAATACAGTCAAGCGCACTTCTTTTTCACAAGGGGAGATAAGGCAAAACTATTTAGCAAAACTCCTGACAGCTATGAGAGCTGCTAAATGACCATTTTATGTTCTTCTCTTATGCAGAGAGGATCATATTCCAGAGTTCCCAGCTAACAATGAGTACTTTGAGGAAGATCTGAGGTAATACAGTAGACGAGTACAGTATAGAGTAGACTAGTCATGGGGCTCAGTATGAAATGTTTTCACTTGTTCTCTTTGCAGCAGAATCTTCCAGAAGCGTTCATTTGACTTATTTCAGTTTGGTATTTATTTATGAGTTTCAGTTTATGCTGATGACCCTGAGCAGTTTGGTTGTTTTTTTTTTTTTTGTGCCAATTATTAGCCAACCAGCATCATTTCACAGGAACAACCTCACGCGATTATAGACCGTTTGATGCCCTGTGATCCCATGATGCAGCGGGGCTCAGCTGAGCGTGGCTTTTTGACTAACGTTCCGCAGGTATAGCCGCAGCATGGTGGACAGACATGACCATTACAGGTCCAGGTCAGCTGACCAGCGGCCCATGATGGAGCGACCGGTCTACACCCGCTCCCGCTCCTCTGAGCGGCCCGACTCCGGCTACATGAGATCCATGCCGTCCTTACCGTCAGGGAGATCCGCTCCTCCCTCTCCTGCCTTAACGAGGTGACCCAGACCCATCACAACAAGCACTAAAGCCCTAAACGAAACCATGCCTTCTGCTTCCTGTCACCTGGAATGCCTCTCTCCACTTCCTCTTATTTTAACCCTGTTGTAACGATGCTGTTTTTGGTTTGTCTTCATTTATAGAGTAGAGAGTAGCGACGATGGTTGCTACTAACGTCTTTTCATTTGAATCTGTTATATCCTCTCGAGATATAACGGGTTGTACCTGGCATCGTACGGTTTACTTTCTTATTCGTTTTAATTATGATTTATTTTTGTGCGTTGTTTACTAACATTATTTATTTGTGGTTTAACAGTTTATGCTTTGAGTTATGGGCTGTTTTTGCATTTAGGCCTTTTCACTTTCCTTGCAGCTTAAGCAGCCACAAGCACCTCTCCTGATGCTGATGCCATCCCACCTTTTGAGACACCATAAAACCTTTTGACTTACGATTTGCCCGGCACATTACGTAATTACGTAAATGTGCAGATTTACGCATGAACTTTCACTGATGCAAGAGATGCAGTGTGCCTCAAATTTAAGGCACATGTACGATCATTGGAAAGCAAATGTGACATTGAGCTCAAAAGGTGCTTGAAAGATCATTGTGTTTACTGTGGAGTCGATGTGCATTTTAAACGTACATTTGTTTACGTGGCTAAAATGCACATGACTGTGACATATTTACTAAATGCATGTTCTTATATGGTTATATATATGTGTGTGAAATTTAGTTACACAAAAGAACATGTCAAGAACTTGTTGGGTCATATTTTACCCCTAAATAAAATAAGAAAAAAAAACATTTTATAAAAATAAAATTAAGCCTGTTTTAAATTCAGAGATTTTTAAATTTCACAGTATGTGTTCAGATGGTTTATTTTTGTAATTCTAAGCATTTTAAATGTTGTTTATATTCCATTTCTATATTACGCATTTTTATTTATAATGGAAGTTTGTTTGTTCCACCAAATTAAAATTTAAAAAAGGTAATTGCGACTTGTTATCTCTCAATTCTGAATTTTTTTATGAGTTATAAAGCCAGAATTGCAGAAAAAGTTGTCTTTTTTTCCACACTTCTGAGTAGTAAAAATTAACAAAAAAAAAATTAACTTGTTAATTTTCAAAAATCTCAATAGCGATTTATGCTCACAATTCTGACTTTATTTCTCATAATTGCGAGTTTACATCTCAAAATTATCTCTGAATTATGACGATATAACTCACTATTCTGAGACATGAAGTCAGAATTGCATGATGTATGCTCTGAATTGTGAGATATAAAAGTCGCAATTATCATTTAAATCGTTTTATATCGTATATGAAATCATAAAATGTAGAATTCAGTAACAGTTTAAATGGTGGTTTGTAAAATGTACTTTTGCACAATTGAAAAATACATCAACATAACTGAGCATAAATCACTACTAAAACTTTACAATTAAAATGTAATGTAATATGTAATTATTTGTTTCCATTACATTCATGTAAATAAAAAGTTTACAGGAGAGGAGACTGTGCTTAAATTTCATGGAAATGATGTAAAATGCAAACATTTCTTGATATACGTAAAATAGGCCTCGTTGATGAAATGAAAAATATAATTGATAATGTATTTCTTTTGATATTGGGGTGAAATATGATCTGAAAGTTTTCATGATGTGGGTTGATGTACCAGCTCATGCTGATGTACCTTATCTACAGAACATGTATTTCACCAAATGTTTTTACTTCTTTACAATTTTTTTTTACTAACCCTTGAGCCAAATATTGACTTTTCTTTAATAGTACATAGTATGTGTCCCTTTTTATTGCAATCAAGTGGAGTGTGTTTTCTGACACTATTGCATCATTAGTAAGTGATAATACTGCCCGGATGACCATAGTTTGTTTTTATTAGTATTTTCTCACCAGCGTGTGTCTGTAGTCAAACGGTCTGGCCTGTCCTGCTCAGGTTTTTGACTCGACGACAAACACTTCTTTCGATATAATGCTTTTTGTTCACTACTGACACACCATCTGTCCCTCAGGGCAAATCCCCGCAGCGGATCGGTCCAAACAAGTCCCACCACCACGCCGGTATCGAGTCGAAGAGGTCGGCAGCTACCGCAAGTCCCACCGAAGGGCTCTATGGACAGAAGTGAGTAGATAAACCAAGCTTCTTGCTCATGGGGAAGAAGCCTTTATAATTAGTCAGGTTTGGGTCACCAGATGTCATCCTGATATATATATATATATATATATATATATATATATATATATATTAGGGGTGGAACGGTACACAGAAGTCACGGTTCGGTTCATACCTTTGTTCAGACTTCAGGGTTCGGTACGATTTCGGTACAATGGAGGGAAAAGCAAAACAAAAATACAGAAGGCATTGTATTTTTTAAATAAGTTTTATTAATAAAGGCATTGAACCAGTTAATTTGTTGTGCACTGACAATACTTTTATACAATTAGACAAGATTTAAAAAGACAAAAAGACCTTGCGATATGTTTGGTAATTGTTCCTGAATTCATTTAAAATTATTTTGCTATATTTCATATCATTATATTTGTTTCCCTTAATTTTAATTTACATTATTAGGCTAGTTAACAATGTAACATTATTCTCATTTGAATTATAAATAATTGATTTCTGTATAAAATAATACTACCATTAAAAACACATTCGATTTTCTTTTTTAATCAATGTAGAATGTTTAAGATTAGTGCTCCGAGGACAATACATTTTTATTGCGAATGTACAAAAATATAAGAACATTTTTTATGTTTCTCTCTCTCTCTCTCTCTCTCTCTCTCTATAAAGCCAACGTTTGAATGCGCGTTTGAAATAAAGTCAGCGTTTGAAAGCCGACGCGCGTTCAGAGCATAGACGGTTCAGAGCTAGCCGATGGTACAGATTATATGTCCCTAAAGAACCCGCGCATCTAACAGTAGTTACGCATTACATTCATTAATATGCACGTGAGTTTTATTTATTTTTGTACCGTGTATTCTCCGTTTAAATTCGTGCACCGAACCGTTGACGCCCGTACCGTTTCGGTTCAATACGAATACATGTACCGTTCCACCCCTAATCGATATGTTGATGATAAGAATAACCTTCCCAAACCTTTCCTTTCCAACAAATAAGCTAAATAAATAACTATAGCCTTTTATTGCACAAATATAAAACCCATAAACAACCATCTTGACCACAAGTCAGATAAAGAATATTGTGTAACTACAATTTGGATGCAATAACATTGTCCTTTACATAACACAACATGGATTGCTTCCCCCCCCCCCAACCACCCTTTTTCCCAGAAGATGGCGAGGGCATTACTGAGCCTTATGAAGGTCTGTAAGCACTAGCTTCTGTGTGTTTAGCGACGTCTCAGTCTTCTTTATTACAGCTTTATCATCTACTCTGTTTGACTAAACCTGTTAGCTTTGGTCTGTGAGCGTTACCTGTCAGTTTTCTAGCTTGGGCCGTTCATTGGGTGTAGTGAGCAGATGCTTCAGCCTTGGTTGTGCTGTACGTGTATCAATATAGATGTATGCTTTATGTAGTCTACTGTATGTACTCCGTCCATGTCTGGAATCATATCCAAATCTGTCACAATATCACAAGTATGAGAGTGAGAAAAAAATAAAATAAAAGGGTAATTGTGTCTATCTTGCAATTCTGACTTTATTTTCTGGCAATTGTGAGTTTATATCTTGCATTCAGTACATTTTTTTCTCAGAAAATGAGAAAACAAGTCTGAATTGTGAGATATAAACTCGCAATATAGGAAAAAAATGTGAGAAATCAGGTCAGAATGGTGTTATAAACTTGCAATTGTGAGAAAGAAAGTCCAAATTGTGAGGTATACACTTGCAACTCTGAGAAAAAAGAGATAAGACAAAGAAATAAAGAATTGCGTTAACTCAAAATTGCAAGATGCAAACTTTCTTATTTCTTATTTCTGAGAAAGTTGAAATTGTAAGTCACTTGCACCTTGCACTCCTAGCAGTAATCCTCTGTCACACAGTTATAAATTATGCTTTATTAGTCTAGTTGTTGGTTTCTTGACATTTTTGTTTGCTTTCTCTTTTGATTTGCACAATTTATCAACCAATGAAGCAGGAACAGGGATGGTACCTCAGGCTCCTTCTCCTATTCTTTCCCAGCTTCCACAGTCTGTGGCTGGTAAATTATATTTGGACACATGAGATACTGTATATCAGTCAAATGCGAATATGATCTTTATGTTCTGAGAGTAATTGCATTTGCATCAGAGTTTGTTAATAGACTACGTAAATAAAATTTTAAATAAAATTCAGAATTATATTTGCATTTGTACTGCAGCACGTTAGTTAGTATGTTCAGTCAGTCTATCAGTTTGTAGATTAATGTAAGTTTTTGTTTCTTCTATTTTTATATTTCTCACCCTCATGTCTGATGGCATACTTCTGTCTTTCTGTTTTTTTACTCTCATTTCTGTCTGAATGTTGAAGCGGTGGGAGGGGCTTCACACCCCCCAGCCCCGCCTCCTCCACCTCCACAAGTCACACAAGCAATGGCTGGTAATGCTGTTACTGCATAGCTAGCAGTTGATCCCATAATAAGAAAACTGTGGATGAAATATTAAGAAATGTTATATAGTATAGAGTGGGGTGGTCAGTAAATACTGTAACAGTAGACTACAATTCAGTGGCACAAGCTACCTTGTTGTGCATGTCATCGTACGTATGATTGCACCGAAATGTTTAGCCGAAACCAACAATTCTGATTTTGTTTCAAATACCTTAATAGTTAATACGAAATATACGTTTTTTTATTTTTTTCAAAAAGGGAAAAAAATTCAATTGATCAAAAGTGACTGTAAAACTGTTACATTGTAACAAACGATTTCTAATTTATATAAATGGTGTCTTTCTATTCATCAAAGAATCCTGAAAAAGAAATTATCACAGTTTACACAAACTGTTTACACAATTTTTTTCGACTGAAGACAGATCTTTTAAATTGTAAAAATATTTGAATATATGTTTTCACTGTTTTTGATAAAAATGAACAGCTATAGTTTGCTATTTTTGAAATGTTTTCCAAATAATAAATCAGGTATTGTTAAATCAAATAAGTATTTAAAATAAAAATAATGAAGTTTATTCTGGAAAAGTAAATTATGTACATTCTAATAAAGTATTATATCACAATAAAATATGATATCAGTTAAACTGGATTATTTATTATTTCATATGCACACTGCTTTTTTGTTAACGATATCTGTTAAAGTAGAGAATTTCCTGTAAATATTTTCATGTTTAGTGGTTTTTTTTTTCACTTTTATTTCATAAATGTCCACCCAAATAATCCTTTTGTTCATTTTCCTGTTTTTTTTTTTTTTGTCCACAATCCTGTCTCTGCCAATCATGTTGTCTTCATCATTGTCATCATCAACAAAGCTCATGAGAGGATGGAGCCTCCTGTCCCGGGCCCTACCATCGCACATGTCACCATCCCTCCTCATGTCCAGTCTCCTCTCCCTCCTGCACACCCCCCTCCACCTTCTTCAGTGTCCACTCCCCCACCTGTGCAGGCCCCTCCCCCACCTGCACAGGCCCCTCCTCCTCTAACACATGCCCCTCCCTCTCCCGCCAATGCCCCTCCCCCTCCAGCCACTGCCTCATCATCAGCATCACCTCTTGTACAACAGGCTTCTGTGCCAGGTGTGTCAATGCAACAGAGTACTTCTTACTACTTACTACACAGTATACACCAGGGATGCAAAACTTAGGGTGTGTTCCAATCAGCTTCCTTGTTCAATAGTCACTGTAGGAACAATAGGACAATAGGAACTGATCAGGGAGCCATTTAAAGGCCTGTCTCGACCACTGTGCATTGAAACGTTCGCTCCCTAAAAAGTCCCACAGTGCACCAAGAAAACCCGAGAGCGTCGCACCAAAAAATCACGTGAGCCAACTCAACACACGATAGATGTTTTATTTTTTATACAAACAATTATTTATTATATTTCAACATAAACAGATCGCTAGACAGGTCATTTTGCACTTATATGTATATGTAACAAGCAAAAGATTTTCATAGTATAAAAATCATGTCAGAAAGATATCAGTTCTGCTATTGTTCATAAATACCAGTAGTGATGTTGTACAACTGCAGGTAATAGGTCATCAGTGACCCAATCAGTGACCCAATGTGTAGTGAGCCAGGATCTTTACTGTCCTTAGTGGTACCTTAGTGGTACATTTAAGCACCTAAAATGTATATATTAACACCTAAAATGTACATATTAGTACCTAAAATGTACATATTAGCACCTAAAATGTACATATTAGCACCTAAAATATACATATTAGGACCTAAAATGAACATATTAGGACCTAAAATGGACATATTAGCACCTAAAATGTACATATTAACACCTAAAATGTACATATTAACACCTAAAATGTACATATTAACACCTAAAATGTACATATTAGGACCTAAAATGAACATATTAGGACCTAAAATGGACATATTAACACCTAAAATGTACATATTAGCACTTAAAATGTACATATTAGGACCTAAAATGTACATATTAGGACCTAAAATGAACATATTAGGACCTAAAATGGACATATTAGGACCTAAAATGAACATATTAGGACCTAAAATGGAAATATTAGCACCTAAAATGTACATAATAGCACTTAAAATATACATATTAGGACCTAAAATGAACATATTAGGACATAAAATGTACATATTAACAACTAAAATGTACTTTTTAGCACCTAAAATTTACATATTAAGTCAAGTCAAGTCAAGTCACATTTATTTATATAGCGCTTTTCACAATACAGATTGTATCAAAGCAGCTTCACAGTGATACACAGCGAAGTAGCACAACACAGATCAACAACATTGCTAAACACTAAATAAATAACCCCAACTGAGCAAGCTCAAAGCAAGCCAAAAGCAAGGCGACAGTGGCAAGGAACCAAACTCCATCAGATTGGATGGAGAAAATACACCTATTATTAACACCTAAAATGTACATTTTAGCACCTAAAATGTACATATTAGCATATAAAATGGACAAAACTTTACCTTTTGAAAAGGTACAGCCCCAGTGACAGCTTTTGTACCTTTTTTTCTGAGAGTGTAGGAAACTAGGGAACTGATTGAGACCCTTATTTCCGTGAGGGCCTATGATCCAGCTAACAGGTTGGAAGTATTTTTGCACCCCTGGTATACACTGTATACTTCCTCTGATACTTTAAAATAGTATGTCAAACACTATGCAGTATGCAATCCTAAACAGTATTAGATACTGCATTCTGAACTAATAGTAAGAGTAGCTGTTCTGAACATAGATTGAGTGCTCGTAGCTTCATAGGAGCATGAGTGTGCATACGTGTGTGTTTTAGTATGTGTGGTTGTGGAAAATACTGATTATTAAACTCCCCTTCTGTTTATGTGTGTGCCATTTCTGACACAAGAATCCCAGGAAAAGCCTGTAGCTCCCCCACCTGTCAATGGGAGGAAAGGCAAGTGTGTGTGACCGTGTGAATCTCTCAGTGATGTCTTACAGTGTGTTTGTGTTGGAGAGATTTAGAAAAGTAGGTGTTTAAGTAGATGTACGTTTGCAGTACTTGACGTTTGTACGGCTACTCTTGCATCAGATGGATTTTTTACATCATACACTCTTAGAAGAAAAGGTTCTATATAGAACCTTAAAAGGTTCTATCAGCGCTACGTATTTGGAACCCCTAAAAGGTTCTATACACTCTTAAAAAATGGTTCCTCTGGGTTCTATATAGAACCCTGGGGTTCCATACTTGGCCAATAGAACCTTTTACCAAAAAAAATGGTTCTATATAGAACCGTTTTGGAGTTCCATATATGAAGCGGGGGATGGAACCATTTCTGGTTCTAAATAGAACCATTTCTTCTAAGAGTGCAGTTTATTTACGTTATGATTGTGTTGGTAAGATTGTAAAAGTGATGTTATTGAAAATGTTTAGAAATTGTGCACTAAGCTGAGGTGATTTGTTATTATTTTAAGAATAATTGTTTAACATGTTTCTGGACGCTCGTGCAAACCAAGTACCTTCATTCACCTGTAGATGGCTCTGTGACACCTTTTTAAAAAACTAGACTTCAAAAATCAACAAGTTTACAACTTTTTAAATATTTTGAAATTAATAAAAAAAGCAAAGTGATTAAATAAACATAAAGATATTAAATGACTATTTAATTTAAATGTTTCCATTTTTTAATATAATTGCAAATGATAAAATGTGAAAAAGGAACGTTTTATGTAGGGAAAAAAGCACTTTTTTAAACTGTGAGGGTAAACGGTGTTTATATGCTAACTTAAATATGCTAAATGTGCCTTATTTATGCACTCTACTGGCTTCAAGTGTGCACATCTTTGTTAACTAGGCCCATTGACTTTTTCTCCTTGTCTTGTAACTTCAGAGGTGACATGGGAGGACCAGCAGAAGAAAGCTCCTGGTATGCCACAAGCTGTGGTCTTCATCTGCCTTTAGTTGAATAGATCAACACTAGTGCGCACTAGATTGCAGCCGTTCTTCTGCTATGTAGCTCTCTTCTTTTGCTGCTCTTGTTGCTGCCATGTTATTTATTAAGACTGAACCCTCTGTAGTTACAGCTCTGTGCGGCATGATTACTAAAATATACAAAACTGTAGTGTATTTGAACATCAAACATGGTGTGTTTGCCTACTGGGAAGCGCTTACATCTCATATTCAAGGTGAATTCAGATTCGTCGGTAAACCAACTACAAAATTATTCCCAAATAGGGTTATCACTGTTTTTATTCAGTAATATAGGTCGTCAAATGTTGCGTTGCAGTAACGAGTAGCTATTGGTCCTGAGCCACTGCCCCTTTGCCCTCTTTGGGGCGACGTATCGAGGTATATGAGTGGAGTAGAGCCCGATCGATAAATGATTTGAAGGCCGATACCGATACAAATATTTGTTGGTTTTAAAATCCGATATTCCGATATATCGGCCGATATTTTTTTATTTCAGAAACGCGCAAAAAAAAAAAACATGATTTCCCTAACGTTAGTTATTTGTAGTTATTTATGAGTTTTAACTAAAATAAAATGATAATGCATTTTAAAAAGAAACTATTTCTTTTATTGAACACACTGATGACAGTGGCATTAGCTAGCTTTGTGGTTAGCTAGTCTATGATGAGCCGTAATTTAGCAATGGATAACGTCATACTGCAAATTGTAAAACATACAGTACATTTTCAATATAACAGTATAATATAACTCATTGGTAACTGTCACACGCTATTAAAGAAATACTTCAGTCACGTTGTCAAAAGTTAAAAGGACAGTCAGTCAACTACACTGTAACATTGTAATGTAACTATTTACTAGCTAATTCCGCTTCACTCTCGGCTTATTTAACAGCAGCAAAACTGGACATGAAAGTCACAAATATTGTCCTGCTTATT